CTCGGAAACTTTTGCTTCTTCTCAATCTAAACTTTTCTTTTCGAACATGATGCACGTAACGTCATACCACTGATTCCCTTGTCAACCAAGTGACGCTGGTTTTCCAACATGACGGTCAGGAGACATTTGAGAGGGAAGTGTTTATGGTAGGTATGTACAGTGATACGTACGGATGTTGGATGGTAGAGTCCCGAAGGAGGGATTCTTGGCACCAATACAGCAACGTCAGATTGTGGGGCGTATCATTTTCGGCGCATCTCACCCCCCATCAGTGGCTAGGCGCATCCAAGACCTATCACAGTCCGCTATAGCATATACATGCATATACATCCTTGTGCTTTAGGGGAGGCTGAAGATAATGTTCTTGCTTGGCAGCGACCTCGTGCTGCGCGCATGCCACGCGAGCAAATGACGTGCCGTGGCCCTGGAGTGAGCGCGTGCGTGACCAGCCCAGGTCGCTAATGGCGAATGCTCTCTCCTACGTCCGGTATATCATCCCTTTCCTCTGGCTTCTGCCCACGCGATCCCCGGCTGCATACATAAGGATCCAGGGTCTCGATCAGCAACGACTGCGCATGTCCTATGACGCGTTTGCGGCTGCTGGCTATTGGTCCTCACAGTCTCCGCTGGATCCGCTACTAAATGCTTCTCACGCCTCGCACCTATTCCAACGCACAAACTGCCGACGCCGGCCGCAAACTTCCTGAACCCTCATTCTTCGTGTGCACAAAGTCGCGCAAGGAGCTGCAAGCTGAGGAGAAGCGTGCGCTGAGGATGTTGCTGCTGCACCAAAAGGGGGCCGTCAAAGTAGGCGAGGTTGTGAGGTGAGTTGTTGTATTTGGGCGTGGGCACATGCTCGAGAGATGGACATGCATACATGTCGTATGGTTTGGGGCATGCCAAAGCGCTCAACGGTCCCTCGTGTTCAACGGTGCTAAGACGCTGGGCAGGTACACACTTACATACACGCCCTCCGAAGACCGAATATTGCCCCCTCCTCCTATCCTCCATGTTCGTATACGCAACTCGTCGGCCATTCCCCTGCGCGCCGCATACCTCCATGGACCCTACACCATCCACGTCTCGGCCTACCCCTCCACCTTCAACCCCAACGTCAAAAACGACGATGCCAAGATCTACGGCACCCCCGACTTCGAGCCTAACCTAAAGGCAGGGGGGTACTGGAACACAAAATTGACGGTGCCCGAGCACGCGAGGACTGAGATTCCAGGGTACAATGCCGAACCGAAGAGTGTCACCTGGATAATTGAGATTGCATCGCAGATCATCTTCTCAAACTCTGCGTCGGTGAACTACGAATTGCTAGTTGCACGCGACGAGCGATCACTTGACCTGGGCTTCACTGCTGTAACGGGAAACACACATGGAACTCCGGGAAAGGTCCAGGACCACCAGCAAGGAAGCCAGAAGCATGTTTCAAACCATGCAGGACAGCCCAAGGGCGTCTATTCTAAAGCCGTCAAACTGGTAGTGGACGATACGACTAGTTTGTGGAACAAGCCCGAGTTGCCGGAATGGAAAGATGAGGAAGTGAGCAGCGAGGGACAGTCCAAGGATACTGACCATGCAAAGGAGCTGGCTGAGCGGAAAAGAAAGAATATCCACCTCGTCATCGTAACACATGGATTGCATAGCAATCTCGGCGCAGACATGCTGTATCTGAAAGAGAGCATTGATGCTACCGCAAGGCAAGCGCGCGAGAGTCGGCGACAGCGACGCAAGGAGAAAGGGGGGGATGGTACCAAAGCTGCAGGCAAGAATACATCGACTGCACCGTTGTCCGGTGGCCAAGATGAGATATCGGATGCAGAAGACGAAGACGAAGAAAACGAGGAAGAAGTAGTCGTACGTGGGTTTGACGGCAACGTTATACGCACCGAACGCGGCATCCAGTACCTGGGAAAGCGACTCGCTAAGTACATCCTGCGTTTGACGTATCCTGACCAGCCATACCTCCCAATCAAGAGGACTGTAGGACAAAAGCTGTCCAACACCTTTTCGCCTACAAGAGACAAGGCAGACGAGGGCGTCCCTGCTCATCAAGGCAGTAGTGTGCACCACTTGTTCAAAGGGCGAGACAAACGCGCATACCAGTTCACCAGCATCAGCTTCATCGGCCACTCTCTTGGCGGCCTTGTACAGACGTACGCTCTTGCATACATCCACAAACACTCTCCTCACTTCTTCGATACGATCAAGCCTGTCAATTTCATTGCGCTGGCGTCTCCCTTCTTGGGACTAAGCAATGAGAACCCCACCTATGTCAAGTTTGCACTGGATTTTGGACTGGTCGGTAGAACAGGACAGGACCTCGGTCTGACCTGGAGAGCACCTACACTAGCAAGGAGTGGCTGGACCGCAATGGGCAATGTGTTTGGAACCCAGGGTCAAGCTTCACAGCAGGAGGACCCTGGCGCTAAACCTCTATTGCGAATTCTTCCCACGGGGCCCGCGCACCAGGTTCTGCGGAGATTCCGGAATCGCACTGTATACTCCAACGTTGTCAATGATGGAATTGTACCACTGCGTACGAGCTGTCTCTTATTCCTTGACTGGAGAGGGCTGGGCCGGGTACAGAAGGCCCGGAGAGAAAACGGACTCATCGGTACCGTTGCAGTGTGGGGTTACGGTCAACTTACGGGGCAAAACTCTTCGCCCAATCCTTCACGAGTTGGTTTTGCTGAAGACGAAAGCTCTGGAGCTGATTCTCCAACGTTTCAGGGTGATGATACAGCCGTGCCACTACCAGGTGCTGACACAACCAATCAAGAAGACGAAACGCAGGTACCTACAGTAGAGACTGCGGCGCATCAACTTATTGAAGGACAAAAGAAGAGTCCAGATGGCAAAGATCCCAACGACAACTACTTTCAGCCGCAAAATACGCTGATGCAGTGGTGGAGCTACATCAGGCCCACTGGAAAGCATACCTCGCGCGACAAGAAGATGTTCTCACGTAGCCAGACGATCTACAAGGATGATGAAGATGAACAATCTCCTACCCAAGCAGAAGACTCGTCTTCATCATCGCGTACGGATCCGCAAAGGAAAAGGCCTCGAGCGACGCGTGGCGACTCCATTGTAGATAACCCCCAAAGCAACATGGCACCACCCAAGACTACGATATTCGAGTCGGCCGGTGATTTGATCAATCCCCCTGTACCTCCGCACTCATGGATCAACGATCCAACCACCCGAGCACGCGCCATCTTCCATGACAGGATTTATCACCCAGAAGATATTCCTCCGCCACCACTTAAGAAGAGGGCTACGCGAAACTTCTCAGGTGACAGCGTTGCCAGTCAGGCGTCGACAACCAGTGTTGATGACAGTGTGATGCGCGTGGAAGAGAAAATCGCCCGCGCCTATCACAAGGATCTCTCGTGGCGTAAGGTATTGGTTAGCCTCGAGCCCGACGCTCATAACAACATCATTGTACGCCGTATGTTTGCCAATGCATATGGATGGCCTGTCATCAAACATCTTTGTGATACCCACTTTGCCGACACATACTCGGCTAACACGCGCAATGAGCTCGAGCCTGCAGTTGAGCGAGCCGAACCAATGGACAAGGCTATAGACAAAAACGGCGAGCGGGTCAAGGGGCAGCAGAATCAACAGCCACCTGTTGAGCGTTCCGATAGTGAGATGCGCGAGGTAGCTGACGAGTTGGCGCCTCTGCACCCGCTCACTTTGAAGATGCCAAAGAGATCCAACACGACAGATTCGATGCACAGTATCGGGTCTGGTGACTGGGATAGCATTTACTTCAACGAGACTAGCGACGATGAAGACGAGTTCGACGATCGTAACGCCGTGCAGCGTTTCTTCCAGCCTAATAGCGCAAAGAGCCCCCGAAGCCCTGGGTTTCCACCTAAGACACCTGACGGAAAGGGCACCAGTCAAGCGGACATTGCCGACTTCCTTGGTGGGTCTAATGTTGAAGTTCACAGGGGTCTTGGCGCAAGCCCGAAGAGTAAGACTGCTCCTACTCTGACCGCTGAGCCGGACTCAATTGAACCCGGCGAATTTGCTGCTGCGAATGAAGAAGGGCAACAAGCCTCAACCTATTCTGAGACACCCATGGGCAGGCTTAGCGGAGTTGGCTTGAGGAATGCTGCCGATGTTTCTGCATCGCCAGAGGGTAGTAAAGCGAGTCTTGGAGGCAGTAGCGTCACTGAGCAGGTTGCCAGACTGAGCAGCCCCAAGGCTGATAAACAGGATGATGCTAGCTCGTAGTGTAGAGTACGCGACATCTTGAGGGGAGTAACGGTATAGAACCAAGGACTGCAAGAAACGACGACGACACCATCGTATAGACTTTTTCGACATGTACCACAATTCTCTTGGCGATTTTGGGTACTCTTCTCAGATTTTTCTCTTGTCTAGATCCTTTCCGCGTTTTCGGTCTTGGATGCATGGGGGTGTTACGTGACGTTAAGTTTGAGATCAGTGCACAGAGGCGGATGGTACACGGACGATAGCATGGGCCGTAGTACCATTTGCGCACCCACAAGATACCCCAGATATCGCACAGTTTGTAGACGTATATATTTTTAATCCTATTCCCTGCTTTTGTTCTTTCACTTTTCACTTCATCGACGCTCTGATATACCGTGTTCATCACTGTGTGCTGGTTGACCCAATGTGCTCGAACAATGCAATCACCTGCAACATAGTAGCACACATGTGACTTCCTCATTCATACACCTCAGAGGCTTTGTTCCTCACGTTCCTCTTTCACAAACAACTCTGGTGACGACGTCACCTTGATGCCGCGCCTTCCCATTTCACCACATCACTACCGCGTGGCAACTTGCTCCGTTTGTTCTCAGTAACTCGAAAACAGCAAACCGAGTTCGACACTCACTCCACCACACGAGCGGAACGTATATTTTCCCGAAGACGTACTAATTTCAATTCGACAACACACTGGTGGTTCGCTATCACTGTTCAGAGAAGGGATAGTAGCCGGCGCGATGCCCACCTCTGACTCTATCAGTCCTTCAAGGCACCGGAGCCCTAGGGCTGGCAATGGCCAGAAACAACGCCGCCGCATCGTACGACGATCAAATATGTCACGCTCGAATACAACTCCCGATCTCGGTATCAAGTCATCTGCTACGATGTACAACGGTTGTGGCTTCACAGTAGTGCCGGACGAAGCAGGACTCGTAAACACATCTTCTTCTTCTTCGGAGTCGTTCCCTTCGATAACCAACAGTACATCTTTTGGCCCCTCGCCTACGGCCTCGGTTGGGAGCGGATCGAGTACAATAGTGGAAGGCAAGAAGAAGCATGGCATATTTGGCTTCAAGGCAAAGGACAATGACCGGCCGAAAAGTTCGCATGGGTCCCCCCTTCAACTATCACCTCTGCCTCCGCTTACGCCAGTGAAAGCTGCACAGTTTCTCGGGGTTGAATATGGTGCTGTGAGGAATAGAAGCGGGTCACTGGGCAGTCGGGTTCCGGAAGTTTATGAATTCAACGGGCTGCTGGTACGATCGATTCCGGAAAACAAAAATCTTTTGACCCACCTGACTAATATCCAGGACTCTGCGAGCGAAAAGACTGAGTCTGTAGATGGGGATGTTGTCTCAGGACCAATGACACCCAAGTGCTTCTGGGCAGCTGGTAATCGGAAAGCGCAGCGGATGTTAGGCCTGGCCCCATCGCGTGAATCTAGCACCAAGCATGGAGTTGAGCCAGAGAACCACATCACTGAGACACCAGCGATTCTTTCAAAGAAGGGGAATCGAGTTGATTACAGCAGTGAGCCTGATGTCCATGCCCGTCCTCCTGCAAAGCCTCGAAAACGTCGCATGCGCAGGAAGGCCCCTAAATCGCTCGATCGAATGACACCTATTACGGAAATATCTTGTGACGAACTCCGTTCATCTTATCACGATTCTGAACACAATCCCGAGTTGGAACTCATATCGGAGTATGAACGCGATCCTTCATACAGTAGTAGCCTACCGTCACGACCACCGACTCCGTTACCGTTCACGGCTAATACGAGCTATGAATTGGAGGAACGAGACCTCTCACCAAAAAAATTCGATTCAGGAAAACATGCTGCTGCTGGAGCGGAAGAACATGCAAAAAAATCCGATCACGAAGTTGGCTTCGACAAATCTAAGCAAAAGTCGCCAGCCGTCATTTACCTGCGTGGTCCTTTACAGTCTTTTGAGGACTGTCTTCTCGATGCAACTGAAGCCAATCTCAAGGCCTTAATGATCAAGCAGAATATCAATGATGCTGCGAGAATTTACCTGGATGCCAGAGGCAGTTCTTTGAGAGCTTCCCACCAAGCGATGAAGATGAAATTTGTGGCGGTAAGCCCGAACGTGCTGGCTGAGGATGCTAACAATGACATGGAGTCTGAAAGCGATGATGGCAAAAAATTAGTCTCTATTCGTGGCAGCATTGATTTGGAAGAAGATCCAATCGTTGATTTGGCCGAATTGATGAGCTGTACACACATCACCCCAAGTGCGATGAAGCTTATAGATGTTTCACCCGGGGAGCCAAAGCCAACCACTCCGTTCAAACACAAGCCTGCATCTAACTCGTCAAGCGGAGTAAAGACACCCTTGAAGCCGGCTTATATATTTCAGCATGACGAGAAAGCCAGCCCATTCAAGGAACTAATATGCAACGTAAGGGTACGTACGCCCACACCACCTCTCGCAAACCAACCTAACACCACGCAGCCCACCCTCACACGCAGCCATCCCCCAACTAAACTCCCCCAAAAGATCCGCAAAACAAAAAAGAGTAAAAATCTCTGCAACGAATCCCGCATTCTAGTCCAAAACTGGATCTCCACAAACGACCACACCAAACAACGCCCCTTGTCCGACCGCCTGGACATCGACGTTTTATCTGATCAGCAAATCCCGCCTGCTCCCTTTCCAAAAGACACTAACAATATCTCTGCTGCCTCTCCAACTCCACCCCCAAGGAAATCGTCAAAAGAACACTACTGCTTCCGCAACGGCCACATCCTCCACCCCATCAACCTCCAATCCATCCCCGACGAAGCCGCCATCAACACCCTCGAAGTCCGACCTTATCTGCGTACACATTCCGGGCGCAAGACGCACGTTCATATTCCGGTGTTTTGTGATCGGTGTGGAGAAGACGTGCGGGAGGAGCTGTGGGAGTGCGATATTGCGGTTTGTCGGATGGTGGTGTGTAAGGCGTGTGCGGCGGATATGGAGGGAGAGTGGAGGGGGCGAGTGTGTGGGGAGTGGAAGAATTGAAATGGTAAAGTTGGGGAAGATGGGGGGTTGGGATCACGGAGTGGCTAGGCATTTGGGGATATGGAGAAAGAGGGGGGGTGAATTAGTGGGAGGGGATTCTAAGTACCCGTGTAATGACCAAATATGAATGAAGGTTTTGTAGATGATATTGTGGTGCGAATGTATGGCCTGTGTGGTTTCCGTGTTACTATGATGGCTGTCGCACTTTGTATTAACTGCCTAGAGCCTTTTTTTTTTAAAAAAAAAAAAAAAGAAAGATACAAGAAAAGAGATTATTACTTGTTACCTAAGTAGCTAACTATCTTAGTTCTATGGCCTCAGAATTCACTATCCAGTGCCTATTACACCTTCCATATTACCCAGCATGCCATGATGATTACCTCGAAAACGCCAAAAACTCTCTTCCTCAAGTCGACCGAATCCCATCCCTTGAACCCCCCAAGAAACCATCAAGAGCAATGCCGCAGTACCGTCCACCAAACTCTCTCACCTTAAGAGATCCCCAGACTACATACCTTGGTGAGACAGCCGCATTCCATTGGCGGCTCAACAATTGACCCAAGCAGCTAAATCCGCAGCCACTCTCAAACAGCCTTCCAAGGACCGCGCCATCAAGCCCCGCGTCCCTGCATCCCCGAAATGAACAGACTCCTCAACTCCCTCTCTTCCTCAAACAATGTATCCCAGCCCTGGCCATCCCTCAGGATACTCTCGGTATACCGGCGGGGATCCGGATGCGCCCAGTGGGTAATGAGGAAGTGCAAAATGAGGATGCGTAATGGGGATTGAGGTGGGAAATGGGACCAGGTGTATTTTGTGAGGGAGGGAGTGAGGGGGAAGTGGCGACCGAGGGAGCAGCGGATGCGGTTGAAGGTGTAATGAGTGAAGGAGGGGGAGCCGAGGGTTTGGGAGAGGTGGTAAGCGTGGAAGCTTGGGGGGATGGGGTAGTGGTGCGGGGGTTGGGAGGCCAGGTGGATGGAGGTGGGTGCAGGTGGTGGTTTGATGCTTGGAGGGCTGTGCTTGGTGGTGGAGTTGGGGTGCGCTGTGGGTGGTATGCTGAGAGCATTGGGGCAGGAAGACACTTCATTGGGTGTAGATGCGGTTTGACCTTTGTTAGTAGCAACGGAGGGCTGACTAGGCTTTGGGTGATGAGCCATCGAGACTGCGTGTAATGGGGCCGGTGCAGGTGCGTACTGCTGGCCCATTCCCTCAGCAGTGTTGATATCGGTTGAGGCTGGATACGCGTCCTTGTATATGTAGTGGAGGAAGAGACAAAAGATAGCGGGATCGATCTCAGGAAGTCGGATGACCCAGTCTGGTTTCTTCGTTTTCTCTTTTACCTCTCCCTCGTCCGTGTCTGGCTCGATCTTGATCGCCGTTTTGATCTCTTCGGATTCCGTCATACTTTCGGTTGAATTGTCTTGACGGGCAGTCTCTGACAGCTTTCGTTTCTTGTTGGTACTAGTTGAGGACAATGCAGCCAAGCGCAACTGAGAAACTTGTTGTTGGAAGTAGTTCGAATAGTGGCAGAGGAGTGCAACGGGAAGGATGAAGCTTCGGCGGTTTTGGTCTTCTCCAACTACGACTCGTACAGCGTACCCTTGGATCCTTGCAATTGTGAGTGGCGTATGCGGAAGTCTACTAACTGAAACAGCCTACATTGCAGTAAACATATCTGGTTGTTTTGCACCAAGCACTTGCGGGAGCGGGGGATGGGCTGTGGGTGGCGGCGGTTGAGATGGCGGTGCCTGTTCGATCATTGTCGTTGGCAGGATTGGTAACGCTTTAGGATTCAGAAAACTGATAGTCGATTGAGCGGGCAGAAAGAGCTTATGGAGGTCGTTGAAGCAGACGTCAGTGGATCTCGATTGGATAGACCTTGTTTATATCTCATCAGCACGGCGCTCACTGGGTAAAACAAACAGTCGAGGTGACGGTTGCGAGAGACGCCTTCACTTCGTTTCTAGGTGAGTGAGTGGCATGAAGGCAGAAGTAAGAGATTGAAGCCTTCACGCACACACGCCGAAAGTCAACAAAGTCGCATGATCCTTATCGGCCTCAGCAATAGGAAACTTGATTGTCTTCGTCTGACTATAACATCTTTAGATAGTTGTAGGCTCGGTACATAGTCATGTTGCCGAGCAAACGATGTATGCCGGATTCATCAGGAGCTCTAATCGGTCACTCGCTGGGTGCTGAACCGCTCACATAACATGTAAGAAGTTGGGTCAAATTCAAAAAAAGGTCGCGCCATAGTGAGAAGTGAGGATGTATTGAGCAAGCTATATCAGGGAAGCATGGGGTGAATGCTAAGGCGCTATGCATGTTTGCGTGGGACCACAACAAAACACAAAGATGGCAGCATATTTGACACATGACAAGGCATAATTGTGGAACACAATGGCCATGTCGATTACCGTAGGTAAGTCACTTCAAAATATGAGGCAAACGGTACAGCAGAGAACAAGGTGTATTAGACGCTCAGTATGAGCAAACTACTTCAGTAGACAGTATGGGTATGGTAGGTTAATCCTAACCAAGAGGCAGTCATGCTCATCTCATAGTAGCCAAACGAGACAACCGCCAAACTAGACCTTCGCCTCGACGTTGACATCCTCAACGTGGCCGTGATGACCAACCTTCAGTTTTCCATCCTCAATATCACGGGTAACGCGGTCAAGACGCGACTCGACCTTTCCAGCCTTCCAAGCAGGCATACCAGAGTCGAAGACATCATCCATCTCCTCGAGTGTCTTGCCCTTCGTCTCTGGTGCGGTCAAGAACATGTGAATGAAAGCAACGGCGTTGAAGGTACCGAAGATCATGTACATCTTCCAGTTGATGGACCAAAGAAGGGGCGGGACAGCGAAAGCGAGGATACAGTTCCAGGTCCAGTTTGTGGCAGTAGCGAGACTGACGGCTTTGGCGCGGACCTTGGAGGGGAAGATCTCAGATGGGTAAGTCCAAGAGACAGGTCCCCAAGTTGTGGCAAACGTAGCGACAAAGAGGTATGAGCATGCTACAATGGCCTTGGAAACGTCGCTATGCTCACGAGGTACGACCCAAGAGATATCCCTGTCAGATTCGTCGGGATTGGGATTGCCATAAGAGGCCTGGAGAGCGCCCGTGGTGAAGAGCCAAACAGCCATTCCAAAGGATCCGCAGAGCAAAGCTGGGCGACGACCGAACTTGTCTAGGTACAGGATAGCCGGGAGAGTCATGGCAACGTTGATAATGTACTGGATGGATGCGGTGAGGAGTTCATCGGCGATTCCAGCTCCGCGCATAATGAACACAATGTAGTACATCATGATGTTCATACCTGAAATAGTTAGTGACGATGCTGTCAGTTCAAGGGATTTCCATACCGCAAAGCTGCGACCACATCTGAATGGACATGCCAAGTATAACGCGCTTAAGGATACGGGGTTTGACAAGAGCAGCGAAACTAGTTTCGGCAACTTCACGCTCGAAAGCAAGAGCCTCCTCGATCTCCTTGTATTCAGCGAGAACTTTGGGGTGGTTGACATCACCACCACCGTGGAGGTTGGCAAGGACTTGGAGAGCCTCCTCCCAGCGGTCTTTTGAAGCTAGCCAACGTGGAGATCGAGGAAAGAAGAAGAACCCGATGAAGAGGATAGCACCAGGAACAGCCTGGATGCCCCATGGGATACGGAAGGCAGCGGTGGCTTGGTTCGGGTTGTCAACACCTCCATCTACGAAGGAACTTCCGTACTGGATGAAGTATTGGATCACTCCGAGTATATCAGCATGAGAAGAACCAGCAAAATCACGATATCAATCTAAATAAAGCACTTACATATACCCCAGGTTATAGCCCATTGCTGTAGTGAAACCACACGGCCACGAATCTGCTTTGGCGCGATTTCGGCTTGGTATACGGGCACCATGGCGGAGCAGATACCAATGGCATATCCGCCAACTGCTCGACCGACGCAGAGGAGAGCGACGCCGTTGGCCGCTGCCTGGAAGACTGCTCCAATGATCCAGATGAGAGCAGCGATCTGAATGGCCACGCGACGCGAGAGCCGATCAGCAATGAAAGAAGAGGAGAGAGCTCCCAAGAGCGATCCAGCAGGCATAGCAGCGGTTATACCACCTTGGCGAGTTCCGCTGGGATTGCCAAAGTAGCGCTTGTACGCTGGAGTGCCAAGAGCGCCCGACATGGACGAGATATCAAAGCCGAAGAGAATACCACCAAGAGCCGCGAAGCCCGTGATTGCGTAAACATTGTGAATTCGAGGGAACTGTAGTACTGGTATCAGTAATCACATCGAGGCGTAACCAGGAATTGAAAGCTTACCTTCATCTTGCCAAGTGGTTGTAACCAGGCCAGAAAGAAGAATCGGTGGAACGGGTGGAGAGAGAGGTACAGAGTGAAATGGCTACAATTTTATATGAGAAGTAGTGTGCATAGTGCGCGTGATCTAACTGGAATACAGTCCGTGCGGGTGGCCAGTTGGGCTTGGTCTTTCACTCCTGCTGTAAACTAAGCAATTCCCATGCCGTGGCGTTTGTCCAAACTGCAACCCCGCTAATAGGCGTTGGACTGGGATTCATGTGATCCTACAGGAAAGCGGGAACATTTCCTGGGGTAGTACAGATTAAGGCCGCAGCCCCATGTCGTTATGATGAAACTCTCCAATGGATGGACTTGAGTACGACGCATGTACCTAGTACACATACAAACTTGCAGTTTCTCATCTTCATGGAGTCGTACCGACGAAGCATCGAGCAGTGGGGCACGTGTGCTACGACGTGAGTTAGCTCTGATGTGGGATCTGAACCAAGCGACACCGCACTGATGCATATCATTCGATGATCAGGAGCTCTTGGTATTCGACCCGCTACTGCAAAACTGGCAACTCAGCAAACCAGCCTTGCTCAGATCGCAAGCAAGTTCTTCAGTGACCATGGCTGCCAACAACAACGCTTGATCGACACGCATGCCCTGGTTTGGGATCTCCGACTTGGCATGGGCGCGGCATTACATGATGTCTCGCGACCAGGATTCAGTGAAGATGAGCGCCAGTCCAGTTGCGCAGCACCATGCAGCTAAGGTAACAACCAAAGCAAGTAGTGGGACACCTGAGGCACGGCCTTTGTCCAATGATGTTCTTTCCTTTTCACCTATGGGCCGTACGCATGTTGTTGGATATGCAAGCGAAGCATCTGAAGAAGACCAGACGTTGCATTCGGGAGAGGAGACGACGTACGCCAAGCGCGCAATGGTGCCAGCAATTGACACCCAAGCTCTCGGCTGCCTTTGTCCCGCTCACCAACAGGCCATCGAATAGATGCATGATGGGCGAGGCATCACTCAAATAGGCTTTCTTGGGTCAGTGGAGCGCTTGGGTAGCTATTTCCAGCAACCCTACCGGCGTGTTGGATCCTCTCGCAATGTTGATTGGTGGCTGAATGGCTGGCCCGCACACGCGGCACTTCTGTTCCGAGTACAGAGTTGGATGCAGTCAAAGTCATGGTTTGAAGGATTCGACTGCCTGTTGTGTGGAGATGTGAAGGTCTCTGGGGTGGATCGCGTGGCTCAGGGCGGGGTTCGGTCCAGCCTGCCAAGTCTACCACAGTGCCGGTGTCACTGCAGTATGTACGGGCGTACCTGTTTCGAGACCATACATGTGTATGAGCAGCACCTTATTTTCTGTTCCTCTCGTGGTCTCTTCCTCCCGAAGCCCAACTAAAAAATCATCGAAGCGAATACTCAACGACGGAACCAATTCAGGGAGGTAGTCGAACATCCGATTCGATATCGCGACTTGCAACCCGCAAGTGATTGGTATCAAGCACCTCACGACATATCGACTGACATGGGCTTGCTATGGGCTGCACACATTGTCCTACATGATAGCTACACCGACATTGTGCTGTAGCAAACTCAACTCACCGGTCTTGGACAAGCCACGACGGACTACCCAATGTGAATATGCTCTTCGGCTGTGCAGATCGCACTTTGGGAAAATGCCAAAGGGACTAAGCACTAGCTGTTTTCACGCAGACATGACATGACTATATAGTAGAAGGACGACAGAATGGTTTAAGTATGCAAGCCAGTTCCCATTAGTCGACAACAAGCTGCGTATACACATCTAACGCTTTTTGTCTAGTCACATACAGCTCCCAGTAGATGCAGATAAGAATCAACCCATCGATTCAACATAGCGTTAACAAGCATCCAGATTCGCTGTATTGAGTTTTTGTTTTTCTCCGACATGATGCACAGCACCTGCATTCGCGAAATCGAATCAATCAACGCCCCTGGGTTGCAATATCATTCTCGCCCTCGTACCTGCATATCGGATGTGAGCAATGTCCAACCTCTGTCCTCGGCTCTTTGCGCTTCCGTTTTCATTTCCAAGCTTAGAAATTCCGTAATAGTGGATATTTCTGTCCATGCTCATCTCTCAACAACTAGCATGTTTACCTCTCAGCAGCCGAACACCAGCATTTGGACTCTCATTGGCTGGACTCGACCTATACACGAACCAATGATACGGAATTGCCCACCACCACCTTCCAATTGCATCACGCAGCACCATCTAGCACACTTCTAGCCTCCCCAAAGTCTGACATGCCGCTGGAATAGGATGGCTTCGTGTCGCACTGCATCTGATGATTCTTGTACCTTTCCCAGTCGGGCTCTACTATCAAGTCCGCGAAACATAGTCGCGATGCTCCTGCATAAGGTCGCGCGCACCAACCTGCTGATGCCGACAGCTGCCATGGTCTATGCTATGGTGATCCGTCCCCTGAAGTGCTTGTGGAAGAATGTGCCGCGGACTGTATCTCACGCCTCGGAAATAGTATAAGTATCGTACCACGCTGCCGTAGCCGAGCAGCAACACAGTCAGCTGCGGCTTCTGGATAAAATATGAGCTTACTGCGACAGCTCCTTCAGTCCAGACCACAGTCTACAACCCTCTTACCCATCACCGCAACGGCGTGTCGCTAAACCTTTGAGATTTACAGGTCTCAAACAAACCAGTTGGTCGGTGACCCGCAGAAGTGAGACATCGGACCTGTATTACGCACTTCCAGGATCGACCGTGGAGGAGGACATCAGCTGGAAGCGGTCACCGGATTCCGTAAGCAGAACTCAAAATCCGATCACCATATACAAGTCAAGCGTATGCTTCGGCGGCTGGGAATTTCCAAAATCATACGCACATAAACTCACTCATGGAACCGCCACGATCGTGCTTTTCAGATCTTCTCTCACCTTGTTGGATCAGAACTCGACCTCACACCACGACGCAACGCAACCCCAAGTCAGCTGGACTATAGTTAAAACAACAGTAAACAATTTCCATTTTCGACAACTCTTACACACATCTAGTCGCAGTATAGGCTAGCATATCCGAAACCACCGTATCGGCATGCCGCACCACATAACAAACTGCGTCTTTGCGCGCACGAGCCTGACAACCTGCGACGTCTTTGTCAGAGCCTTGGCTCACATGAGCCCCAGGGCGGAACTATCACCCGAGGAATTTATTGAAGCAGCAAGTCCATGGTTTCTGGATACCGAAACAGTGTGGAGTAGGGTGTTTCTCACGGGCACAGGATGAGAACTGGGATCGTTTCCTAATAGCGAGAAAAAGAAATTAATCATAGACACACTGGACCAAATACGGAAATACTCCACAGAGGTGGACAGAAAACAAAGACATCTTTGAAGACGTCCGGACAGCACTTCCGCGATCCTCCGAGATTCCCGGACCTAATTTACAAGGCACTATCAAACCTACACCTAATACAACGCCTTATCCACCGCGTGCACATCTATCTCCCGCCACTCCCCCACCTCCGCACCCAAGAACCCCTTACACACCGTTCATTTCTCTCCCTCCTCATCCACAGTTCCCAAATAACCTCCCTTCGATCCCCGAACTCCCCCTCCTTGCTTCTCGAACCAAACCGCACTTTTCATCCTGCTCTCGCAACACTAGCATTACACGCGCCCTTTGCGCTGCCAAACAGGGCTTTCGATATGGTCGAGAATATCCCCTGTTGAGCGCGAAGGTGGAGACGGAAGTGTAGCCCAGGCTACGGTAGCGAAGGAAGTCACACATGAAGAACGTAGTTATGGGTGAGGGAGGCGGGGAGGCGGGACTTACAAAGAGAGAGAGAGAGAGATTGCGAAAACAGATTCTAAGATTCTAAGATTCAAATGGTTGAGAATCAAGGTTTATTCGCGATTATCGTGGCGAGAGGGAAAGGGAGTAATGAGACAACGGCTGTGCTGAACACTAAATATAAGAATGGATGTAGGGAGACGAAGGAAAAACGCATATTATTCTACATCCAGTACGTAATGTCAAATCAAGACAGTGAGAAATAAGACAACTCCCCGCACAGAACTTGTTCCAAGCCCACTTCATTACCATTCTGAATCTTTTTTTTTTCGCAAATCCAAACATGAGGGTAACACCAGATACACATACCGATGTTACGTACTCTCATTTCCTACACTTTTTTGTGTATATCCCCTTTCAAGATCAGTTTCTCTCCACTACATCTAGCCACGTGGATACTTGCTTTCTAAATCTTAGTACCAAAAAAAAACGCTAGTTTTAGCGGCGCTTTAACCCACTGTGCCTCAGGAGAAGATGCATGTAGGTGCGGGTAGACTATACCGTTTAGGAGTGCAGCGAGTAGCGTGGCAAGGGGGGGGGGNGGGGCGGTGTATAACTTCAGCCAGAGAAAAAGAGGGATGGATGGATAGGGAAGGACAGGTATGCAAGATGTTGTACAGAGTAAATGTTTTGGCGTTGAAGCAGGCACTACTATAGGCAATTGCATGTCTGAATAATATCATGATTGGTGTGACTACTCTACGGCATGTTTATTAGATTTAAAAAAAAAGGTGAGAGCATAAAATGATGATCGGGGGAGAGAAGATGAAGGAAGAATAAGAAGAAGAAACCCTTGGGAGCCGTGGTGTCGCTCTCCTGCTGCCGACAAAACTTGTCGCTTGGGTATGACCAACACCCCCAACGCCAAATAGATAATACCTCCATCTACAAAATGTATCGTGACCTTTCTGGCTGAATCTGTTGCGCTAGATATATGTCCCTGGGTTTCGCTTGCGCTACCAGGTTGGTGTATTGAAAGAGAGGGATGTTTTAAGCAGGAGAGGCGATTGCGCCATCACCTAGGACCCTCGCCACCAGAATGTAGAGCATCATTGTGCCAAGGATGATCCTCCATTTGTTGCGGCTCAACCAACTCTGACCGGCGTCCCGTGCTATCTGTGCAGCGTCCTGGACGACCGTTGCGCTGGTACCGGGTCGCCGTCGCAGGCCCGAGACGTCCGGCGAGCAAGGTGGGTGCTGTGCGGGTGAAGGAGCGGGCCGGGGTAAACCCGTGGCAGGATCAATGCGCTTTTCCTTCATCCACCTAAGGTTCTCTTCGTCTATGTCAGGCCACTCGTGCCGAAACTTGGCACCGCCGTCGCCTGCCCTGATGTTGCCGTTTTGACCGCCGGCCGCGTTGCCCGAGCCGATCGCCTTTGTGCCACCACCTGTACTGTTCCACCACCTCGTGCGCTGTGCAAAGAGTTTACGCTCTGCGTCGGATGCGCGGACACTACCCGTCGTCATCTCCTCGCTCGTCATGAAACTCAGCAGGCCAGTGAGAATGGTGCTGACTTCCCAGGCGGGATTGAAGCTCTTGGGGTGAAAGTCGGATATACTCAGGCACAACCGGCTGCTGGGCTGAAAGCGGCCAGAGGGTGTGTGCATGCGAATGGCAGGCGGGGCGAAGGGATAGTCTGGTGGGAAGTTGAGGGTGCCCCAGTACTGGCCGCCCTCGTACGGCGTGTCTGGCGGGCCGGTGATAATGTAGTGCCACTCGAGGATGTTTCGGTCCGAGGGATGTGCGGTAATGTAGGGCGGTGGGGATTTTGAAATGGTGGCATACTCTCTGGTAAGGCGCTTGGTGGCTGCTGGTGTCGCCATGGTGGGTAGGTGTGGTATGTGAACGGCGGGTGGGCTGGGGTTGTCGACGTGGTCCTATCTAGGGAATCGACACTGACGTGCTATTTGTATGATGGCGACAAGGTAAGAGCCAGCAGTTGGCACGATGCGCCTGCTGTAAAAATGAGAGCGCAAACAAGCCGTAGTCTGAACGAAGAGAAGCAGAGGAAAACACAGGCGGCAAGAAAGAGGTAATAAGGATCAAACAGGACAATGGAAGAGAAAGAAAGAGACCGAGTCTGGGGTTTGGGGTCAAACCGTGGTCGGGAGGCAGGCGGCACGTGCACCCCGACTCAGCCCGCAGCGGGCGATGCAGACTTCAAGGTTTCCGAACGTCTGCCAAGCATCACGCATCCAGACAACACACAGCCCAATGGCTTCGCCGCACGAAGACGATGTACGCATTCCAGACACCTATATATAGCTACTGGCGGCTAATTGACTGTTCAGGTCTTCGAAAGGCTCAAGAACAGGACGGACCTAAAGGAGCAGCAGCGACAGCAGGATGAGCTCAACGCGCGATTGCAAGCCCAACAACAGCGGGCGCAACAGCGGCTGGGCGAATTGGTATACATCATGGAGAGGCACGGAGAGTAATCAATGGCATTACTGACCCTATCTCAGGTCGAAGACAACACCTCGCTGCCAGTGACAATCTCATCGGTCCGCGTGCTCCATGCCAATCGCACACGAAGAAGTTTCCTCGAGCGGGTGGTTGAGCCTCTGCTGAGCGCAAACCGTACCGAGCCATACACGCTAGAAGAGGCGCTCAAGGAAGTTGGCGAGGCTACCGACAAACTCAATCGTTTTGGTACGACCCCCACCAACTGCTCGCTTTCACATGTCTGACACCCACCAGGCATCTTCAAGTCACCAATTTCAGTCTACCTCGACCGCCCCAGCCAGACTATTGCCACATCCTCGCCTACCGACGTCGATGTCTACATCTCGGCCATTGAGCGCGGCAACTACACTATCAAGACCGGAACAGAGGCCGGTGCTTCAGAGGCCGACGCCTATGTCCACGCCGAACTCCGCAATCTGTTTGGAGGAGCAGAGACCCTCAATGCACACGGATCCTTGGGTACACGCACACGCTCAGCCTACTCCCTCGCTTTTGACACGCCCATCCTCGCCAACCCCGATCTCAAGTTCCAACTGAATGGTTTCGCAAGTTCGACACTCAAGAGCTGGGCAAGTCATGAAGAGGTTCTCAAGGGCGGAAACTCAAAGATCCTATGGAGATTGAAGAATGGAGCTACTCACGAAATTGGTTACTCAGCCATTTGGCGACAGATCACCAGCCTGGCAGAGAACGCTTCGCCTTCTATCCGCGCCGATGCAGGCGATTCTTTCAAGTCAAGCATTACACACACCTGGCTCCAGGACAAGCGCGACTACCCTCTCCTTCCGAACAGGGGGTACATGATGAAGAGTGTGTCTGAGCTTGCAGGTTTTGGTCCCCTGAAAGGTGACACAGCCTTCTGGAAGTCGGAGGTCGAGTCGCAAGTCGCACTTCCCTTTGGCAACACTGGCATTACTCTTACCGCTGGTCTACGAGGTGGTCTTCTCTATCCTATGAAGCTCGCTGGTGAGAACCAGTATCAGGCTTCCCGCATCAACGACCGCTTCCAGCTTGGTGGCCCCAACAATGTCCGCGGGTTCCGCCTTGCTGGACTTGGTCCCCGTGATGGACCTGATTCGCTAGGTGGTGACATGTACGCAGCTGGTGGCGCATCGCTGCTCCTTCCCATCCCTCGTGTCGGCAAGGAGACTCCCCTCCGTCTTCAAGCCTTCATCAACGGCGGTCGTCTTCTTGCACTCAAGAACCCCAACTCCAAAAAGGAAGATGGATCCTTTGGCAGCTCAAGCGATGTCTACAGTGCTATCCGGAAATCCTTCTCGACCCTCACTGCCGAGATGCCGAGCGCCGCAGCAGGTTTTGGACTTGTGTACGCACATCCAGTTGCAAGATTCGAAATCAACTTTTCCCTCCCACTAGTCATGAGGGCCAAGGAAGAGAGCAGGAAGGGCTTGAGCTTCGGAGTAGGAATCGAATTCTTGTAGGCAATCTATATATATAGAGAGAAGAAGATATGTACATGTACTAGTAGGCTCTGTGTTGACTCAAGCAAGCAAACAGAAACACTTTTCACTTTCCGCACTTCGCTTTACTTCGGTGCCAAACGACCTTGGTGACAAGTGTCCTGCTCACACACCAATAGGGAGGCACACACCGTCAAAGAGAGGGCGTCCACCTATCTAGCCCGCCACCAACTGCGGGCCCCCAAACACGTTCTTGGGATCATACACCGCCTTAAGCTTAACCAACCTCTCGTAGTTCTCACCCCAGTACCTCTTATACGCCTCATCCTTGCTCAACCTCGGATCCGCATAGTTGATGTAGGCGCCAAACTGCTCACCAGGCGTCGCCTTCTCAATCGCGCTCACCCAGCCATCCAAAAACGAAAAGTAGCTCGACTGATATACATCGTTGTTCATGATGCGGTCGTAAAACTGCATCTTGAAGACGGCGTCGCGGTGCGAGTACGCAGTTGCATTGTTGGGCACGGCCGAGACGGCCGAGCCCTTGCCGCCGTGGAGGTCAATGAGGAGGTACCATCCGCGGCGGATCTTGACGGTCGTGGTGAAGTAGTAGTCTGCCAGTGCGTAGATTGCTTTTTCCGATAGCGGCTGCGTCATGAGGGACTTTGCGTAAAAGTTCTCGTGGGTGTCGTAGATTTCGGCCTGGGGCAAGGGGCCAAAGGCGAAGGCAGTCAGTGTGTCGATCCAGCCCTTGACGGAGACGGAGGAGCCCGAGCCCGTGTTGCTGGCGCCGATTTTGGCGAGCAGCGGGTTCATGATTGTGTCGTAGGAGGAGCGGTTGCCGTAGTAGACGCCGGTGAGTTGGCCGGGGACGTAGGTGCGCATGTTTAGCTCTGGGGGCTGGTCGTACAAGCTGAAGTTTTGGAGGGTGGAGAGGACATGGGCGAGTTGCGAGGTGTTGGCGGGGGAGAATCTGTAGGTGAAGTTGATGATGTCTTCGGGTGCGTTGTAGGTTTTGAACTTGTAGTCGACGACGATGCCGAAGGCACCACCTGCGCCACGGAGGGCCCAGAAGAGATCCGGGTTCTCGGTGGCCGAGGCTGTCACGACTCTGCTGTCGGCCAGGACGACCGTCATGGAGATGACTTGGTCGAGAGCGAGACCGTGAGTGCGCGAGGAGAGGCCGTAGCCGCCGTGGAGAGTGAGGCCTGAGATACCAACGCTGTGGTGATGGTGTTAGTGAAGGGTTTCTTCAGTGATGGCATGTTGTTGCTCTGGTATAGGCTTACCCAGGGCAGGTTCCATGGCTGAAGGCTTGCTTTCCTTGAGCATACAACTTTGTTGCAATGTCACCCAGTCGTCCACCTGCTCCGATCACAGCGGTGTGAGCAACTGGATCGGCAGTGACGCTGTTGAAGCGACGCATGTCAATGACCAAGTGGCCATCCTCTCCTCCGAGACCAAAGGAGGCATAGCTGTGTCCTCCACACTTTCCAGAGACTCGAAGTCCTGCCGCAACACCGCAGGCTACGGCGTCTTGGACATGCTTGATAGTCGATGGCACAGCGTAAGAGGCAGGCGTGATAGGCACACGAAGGTTGAACGGCTTTATGGCCTGAGTGTAGTTGCCGGTGTTCTTGGCGAAAACGGGCACATCGTGAGAGGCAAGGCAGTCGTCAACAGTGGCACGCTTATCAAGGGGGTTGGCAAGTGCCGTAGTAGAAAGAAGCGTAGCCAAGGCCACGAACCAAGTAGAACAAGCTTTCATGCTGGAGAGGGGTTGGGATAGACTTCACAGCTGTATGGTAAGGGATCGTCTATAATCGTAGTCATCCCATTGCTTAAGTGTTTCTTGTGCCTCGAGGAATGGGCAATTTGACCAGCACACCCTACTTTTGGAGATTGTACTTTACCAAGCAAACACGGCTTGAAGCAAACGAATCACAGCAAGAAGCAGTACCATAAGCTTTTCCAGATGCATCCGTATGAGCCTGCAAGGAAAAGATCCACAAATTTTTCTTGGTCCTCCATCGGAATCATGAAGGCGCGCTCGATATCAGGCCAGGTATAGGCCGGTGTTGGGTATAACATGACTGCATCAGCAGTCGAGATGGTGGGCGGGGGGCACCGTGTGTCCGTGCTAGGAGAGGAGAGTTTTTCGTCCTGACATCATCCGTGTGGGGATTGGCGGAGAGGAAGATTAAAAATTGACTGCTTGTCTAAATCGTTACAAGGTCGTAGGTGATGTCCGGCAAGGCTCTCTTTGCCGGCATATACGAGCCTGAGGGCGGGGGCTTGGCGGGGGCTTCCAACGGCGCTGCCAAGGCGCGCCCCTAACTTACCTCCGACACGTGAGCACCATAGCCGGCATACATACTAGTTAGTTGTTTAATTTCCCCAGCTTGATCTACTCGGGCACGCCATCCGGCTGAAACAAATCATCCCCCCCGTCGAAACATGGCTTCAGATTACGATAAATTGTCCGCTGCGTCGTCTTTAACCGGCTTGGAATTGCATGCTTCTCCACATGGAAGCTTTCCCCCGTCCTGCACTCGCTGCTCATAGTGCAGCCCGGCTCTTTAGCCCGCCGCAGCTGTGGCTGCTTGTTTCAGCGTGACCGGTGGGAATTCTCCTTTGCCGCTAACCTCCTCATAGCGGAAATTCGAGAGGGATACAATGCAAGCCTACAAAACCGCACGACTGCCCGGACTTGTGAGGCCCACACTCGTCTCCATCGTCACTCATTATGCTGTCTACCAACCCCCTTCTTCTGCCGCTCTTCGGCTCCGTTGCGAGCGCCGCCAACCTGTGGGCTAGCCATTACTCGGGCACTCTCAATTACCTCACGTTTAGCGGCAACTCCTTGACTCTGAGCGGCTCGACGCCTACCGGTAACAACCTGCCAAGCTGGCTCACGTACGACCATGCCGGAAAGGCCATCTACGTCGCGGACGAAATCTTCACGGGTCAGAGCGGGGGAAACCTTGTGTCCTTTGCTGTTGGCAACAACGGTACCTTGAGCTCACAAAGAAAAGGCCCAACCCCTCAGGGTGTAGTTGCAACGGCCCTCTATGGTGGTTCTGACGGGCGAAGCTTTATCGCCAATGCTCACTAGTAGGTCAACATGCTCTCCACATGTCCGCAGCTGCTAACCTCGAAACAGCCAAACTTCGCAGCTGACGACTTTCAAGCTGCCGTTGAACGGCCAGCAGCCGCTCCAGACAATCAAATACGTTGGCAAGAGCGTCAACCCTTACCGACAGGAGGCTGCTCATCCCCACCACGCCTTCGTGGACCCAACTGGAGATTTCTTGATTGTACCCGATCTTGGATCCGATCTCATCCGGATTCACAAAATTGACAAGTCTTCGGGAAATTTGACGGAATGCACCCCCGCAAAGCCAGTCCCTGGAACCGGACCCCGCCACGGCGTCTTCTGGAAGCCCTCGACGAAATCTTCCCGAATCCGACAAGCTGGAGGCAACACGATTCTCTTCATTGCCAATGAGCTGTCCAACAGCATCTCTGGATGGGCTGTATCCTACCCTGCCGGAGGATGCTTGAGCTTGACCCTCAAGCAAACATTGACGCCATACCAAGGCAACACCACCGCCGTTACCGGCACCAAGGTTGGCGAGATCCACGTCAAGGACCAATACGTCTACATCTCCAACCGAAACGACAAGAAGTTTAATGGCCAGGACTCCATTACTCAGTACACCATTGATTCCACCGGAGGTCTTACCTGGACTGATCTTACCTCGTCTCACGGCACCTATCCCCGCACTTTTGACATCAACAAGGCGGGTGACTTTGTTGCTATTGGTGACCAGACCACTGCCAATGTCGCTATTGTTGCCAGAGATGTCAAGACTGGCAAGCTCGGCCAGAAAGTAGCTGACTTGAGGATTGGTGCCGCCGGCAGACCTGAGAACGAGGACGGCCTGAGCGCTGTTCTATGGGCCGAGTAAGCCGTATTAAAGTAAGCACGCTGCATGCTTTCGGTACGAGAACCCTATTCGGGAAGCTGGCGGGAAGGCCCGGCTATTGGATAGGATGTATATATCATATTCGTGTTCAAACTTTTGACTAGTTGAAATCTTGATACTTGTGTTCGTGGAAGATTTGTCGTTGGGGGCGGAAGGTGTGAGTGATGTGATCCGCCAAGATTCTAAAACCCCAAGCAGCAGCCATGCTTTTCGTGTTTTGATGATTTTAAATGGTTCTTCTTTGACGAAGCACCATGTTTTTTCAAAAAAAAAAATATGGTAGGTGATGGGGGAAAGTTTGAAATGACTTACATTACGTGCCGCTCATAACCTGACAATTTGTTGGTGGAAATGTCTACAACAATCGCACGTCTGGGAAACATTTTAACTTTGAAGTTTGTTGTGTGGCAGCGATATTGATCTCATCCGCATAAGGCAAAACTAGAAACCACCAGGACTGCTGTTAAACATCATCGATCACTTGACTTTTTTCTCTGTTTACTATATAGCGTATCAGATCAATTGTCTTAGAAAATAATAGCAGGCTACACCCCACACTACCAGAATCGGTTATTAGAAAAATTAACCTTAAAAGAAAAATTAACCTTAAAAGAAAAATTAACCTTAAAATTAAAGTATATAGTAACAGGATTTAGGTTAGCTTTAGCGAGACCCTATTAAACTATAAAAACAGGTAGTAGTCATCTACCTCCTAACGGGTAAATGCTTATTAGGCATAGCTCTATTATGTACAATAACTAAATCGCGGTTATAACGAAGTCAGTAGAACAGCGAACTACGGTTGCGATGAGACGGCAGTATAACGAACTATGATTGCAATAAGGACATACAGCGCAGCGCAGCGCATCGATGCCTACAAAAAAACATCATCGATATCCATGTTCATCCCAATATCCCCATCAAGGAGGTATCACACTCCCTCGTACCTACCGCCATGCATCCTCCTGCCTCACATCCATCAAACCTCTCTATTCCACCCCGATCCTCTCCATATTATCCTCTCCACCAACATCCTTACCCAGCATGTCCCAAACCGTGGCCTTCCTCACTACCTTCGCCCCCCTCCCCGCCACAGCCCCATCATCCCACGCACATATAATAAAAGACTTGGCCCGCGGCACCTCGAAGCCCCGCCTCCAAGACGCCATCGTCACTCTACTCTACAACATCTCATTCAGCACCCTCACCACATTCCTCGACCCAGACATTAAAGAATTCCGACTCATACAAACACGCCGGCGAGGCAGAGATGCAGGCGAGCAACTCATAGTCATGAAACGAGGCTGTAAAGTTATCGTACAAAATCTACTCCTTACCTACTACCCAAGCTTCACTTTTTCTTTCAATACCCCTAAGCAAAAAAAATACATGCAATTCGCTATCAACTCTACACAACGCCTAACGCTTTACAAAAAAAATTACCAGATAGGACTCGCAAACTACTGCCCAGAACTCTTCGACACCCTCGAATTCGACAATCTAGTCCGCATGGAAATCGACAAAGACGGCGCGTGGAAACTCGTGTACGCGTCCTACCGCGACTACTTTTGCAAGAGCTGGGATGCTGTTTGGGAGGGGAGGACGGTGAATCGGGGGTGGGATTGTCTCAGTTTGAGGGCTTGGGTCGAGGATCCGAGGGCGGAGAGTAGGAAGACGTTGGAGATTCTTGCGGAAGAGTTGATGTTGGTGGTGGTTACGGGAAGGATGTGGGAGGCGATTGGGTTTGCGTCGACGCTCGCTACCGGGTAGTAAAAGGGATGAGATGGAGCGTTGGGTGTGAGTGGGAGTATGGGTTGGGTAGAGTCTGGGTTTGTTTTATGGGACTGTATTGTTTCGGTTTGGGTATGCTGCATGGAGTACATCCATTCGCTGGTGTTTGCGTGGGTGTATACATTTTCTAACAACTCACTTCGATTTTTTCAAGTGGCGTACAATGTATAATGCATTACAAGGCCCATATCCTTCAAAATCTTACAATCATTATTAAACTGAGTATTTCTTTTCTTGTTCATATGTTCTTTCGGCTGAGTCGTACGATTCATTTCTAAGTAGTCATTCGCATCTTCATTCAACGCCGATCGAAGATCGTCATCTCATTTGTATCTAATGATTCAAAATTTGGGCAATTTGCAAATACTGCCCACATACCGCATTTACCCTGCAGAGATCTCACTGATCCCTTCAGCTCTCATCGTTGTTTTGATTTGCATCCGAGTACCACACTCATCACCTCACCTCACTCATCTCATCATTCACCAGTAGCCCAGTCCCCCAACCATCCTATACAAATCGAACCCCCCAGGACCTCCCAACTCCAACCCACTCAAAAAACAAAACTTCAATTCCTCTACTCTCACGCACAAATCTAATCAAATAAACCCCCATCAAAAATGCCCTCCAACACCACCTCCACCGCAATGGACCTCACCACCCCACCCGCCACTCCATCCAGCAGCATTCCTAATTCGCCCACCAAAAGCGACCCAGCAACCAGCAACCCAAACACGAAAAACTACACCACCGCCTTCCCCACCCTCCCACCCGCCACCCCCCAAACCCACGCCCACATCCTCAACCTACTATCCCCTCCCGCGCACCCAACCCTCCAAGACACCCTCGTAACAACCCTCTACCACGCCTCCCCCTCGACGCTATCCCGCTTCCTCGACCCAACCGTGCACACCTTCAAACAAGTGCTAGGAAAAGGGGATATAAAGTTAGTAATTTGGCGCAAAGGGGTTGAAGTTTTTGTAAGTTTTCATTCTTTTTCCTATTCTTCCCCCCCCCTTTCACTTTCGCTCTCCCCAGCGTGCGCCGAAAAAAAAACAAAAGCTAATGCATGTGTGATTTTTTTTGTGGAATGCGTGTAGATTGGCATGTTTGAAAATCATACGCAGCTCAAGGTTTTCCGCTTCCCTTGGCTGGCGGGCTTGCTGGTCGGATACGATGGGTGTTGGCGCGTTACGTGTGTGGCGGCGAATGCGTATGCGGCGACGCGGTGGAGTGATGTTTGGGTGGGCAAGTTTGAGTGTAGGGGTGGGGTGGAGAAGATGAGGGTTTGGAGTGGGGATGAAGAAGGGGTGGAGATGGGGGTTAGGGAGATGGGGGGGAAGGTGCTTGGGGGCAGGTTTTGGGAGGGTATGATGAGGAAGTAGAGGAGTTGAGGGTTGGGGAAGGGGAGCATGGGGGATTTTGATTTTCGTTGCAAGGAAAGGTCGTGCAGAGGTGGTTTTGATGATGAGTCTTCTTTTGTCACAACCACAGGAGTGGTGAGGGACAACAAAGGGACAACGGGACGGACAATCGGATGGACACGGCATATAATTCCATACGGGAGATATCCGAAAACTTCAATTGGATGCCAGAAATGACGTATAATGATAGGAGAGAAAAACGAACATAGGGTGTATATGCAAAACGCCGTCATAAAAGGATCAACCGTCTATCCAAACTCAGTTGACCAATTCATATCCTCAATGCTCGTTCATCGTGCAGAGGAGAAGAGAAAGATCCCTTGTCTTTTTCCAAAAAAAAAGAAGAACTCCTTCGTCTATAGAGTACCCACAACGCCAGACGTAAATGTGACAGTATGCAGACACAATCAGGAGAACCAGACAGGAAAAGAATCACCATTTCCTTGGTCCAAATGTCTCTCCTTTCGGAACTTCCTTATAAGGACAAGCCTGCCAATCGCAGCCCTACTCAAACATTAGTACATCTCTCAACCTCCCAAAAAGGACAACAAATATCTCACCTGCTTATAAACCTCAGTACCCCACCACTTAAACCCGCTCATCCACCCCGGATACACGATACCGAAGAATATAACGACAACACCAAACGCAAGCCCAGAGTCCAGGGCAGCGCTAAGCATCATGTTGTACTTTTTCCACCAAGCATTGCGTCGATTCTTGATCTCGTAGTTGAATAGGTAGCACACCATTGCCCAGACGGAAAAGTTGAGGCCCGTGGCCGGCGGGATCCAGCTTAAGCTACCGAATACGACGGCGAGGTTTACTTTGCTGAGAATAGACTTGCGGTCGCCGCGGGCGAGGTAGTATAAGATGAGGGGGGCGATGGCGCCGACGGGGAAGGCCCAGACGAGGTGTTGGTAGAGGGCTCCAGGGCCGAAGAATTTGCCGGGACCGACGACGCCCCATAAGATGCTGCCGTTGAAGTGGACACGAGCGATGGGGCAGTTGAAGCCGTTGATGGCGTCGGGGGTGCAGATGCCGGGGATGTAGTTGAGCATCCAGTTGAGCACACCGATTTGCGTCAGACTGGATATGATGGTGACTGTGAGCTGCAGCTTGAAAAGGATTCGTGGTGGAATTTTCATGTAGTGGCCGAGCTTGAGATCGGATGCAAACTTCAAACCCTGTGTCGCTGAGATGTATCCAAAAGTGGTAAACACCATATTGGCAACGGGGCGGCCGGGGAACACGACGCCACAGATGAGCTGGCAGATGAGGTAGATGCTGCTCTGTTGGTTTGTAATGGCCATGACAATGCCAATCGGGATAAACAGTACTGCACCGATTCCGAGTGCGAGCAAGAGACCATACCAGGGGAGATAGACTGGGTAGTACTCGACAACGAACATACCGACAGCTGCCATACTGACACCAGTGAACAGATACCAAGAAATCGGCACGTCTTCGTATCTTCTCATCAGTCGGTTGTGGACATCCTCGGCCGACAAAAGGTCCTCGACATCCGGCTCGGAGTTTGGACTGGGTCTTTGCGGAAACCCAGCAGGAGGCGCAGGGCATGCGTTGTCTTCGGAGCTAGTGTTCAGTGGCTGATAATCAGCTGCTGACTCTTTTCTGATTTCGGCCCATGAACGACGCCACTGTCTCCAAATATCCTTTCCGTACCAAAGCCCCGTATGCGAGAGCAGAGCGGTGAGGCCGGCGAATTGTAGAGCATAACTCAGCACATAGGTGATGGGAAGGTATACTCTGCTGTATTTTCGGTACGCCTCTTCATCAAACAGAAAATTTTCGGTCAAAATTTTGCTGACGTCGTACGGCTTTCCGCGGTTATCCCAGACGGCAGAGGATAGAATGGGCATGTATGATGAGTACAGTACGTTTTTGTAATCTCCACATTGTCAGCACCTCGGAAAGGTAGTTGCCGTGGCCAGCTTACACATTATTGGCGCTGCAATCCACATGACGCCGACAAGGCCTCCAAGAATGTTCATGGCAGCCCAAAAAGGCGTAATCAACGGAGATCCGATATATGCAATCTGTGCCCAATCGAAGGTAACAGGAAATAATCCAAGACCGGATGAGATTCCAAACTGCAATACATAAGTGTGGGTTGCTATGTTTGTTCATGTTCAACATACCAGGTTAGCGACAACAACATTCTTGGGCGCAAACCAGGTGATTACGTTGAAGTAACTCAATGCGGGGAAGAGTAAGCCAGGAAGGAAGTAAAAGGCGACGGATCCTAAGAATATGCGGACAAAGAACTTGCGTGGCGCAATTGTCCAGCCATCAGCTGGTTTGTTCTCGTCTTTGTGCAGTGCAGTGAACATGGCAGTGGAAACCAATGTGCTTGGCCAAATCATACCGCTGGGCCGGACGAGATAGCGCCTGGTGATGCCGGCAAGGGAGTAGCCCAAGATCTGGGTGGAGAGGATGAGCAATACTTGATACATGATGCCAAGGTCCTGACGATAGAACTTGACCTGTTCAACAATGACCTGTACATGTCAGTATTAGAAACGGGCACTTTGCCAGGTTACACACGTCAGTTGCGAAAGCAAAGCCAAAAGAGACGTTGCTGCTGACGTATACACAGCAATGCTCTTTTTCGTTCCAGCGGCCTTGGGCCAGCCAAAGACGTGTGCGACGTGTCCAGCTGGATTTTGCACTTGATTGGGATGAGGTTGTCTGGACGCATCCATCGACAAAGGCTTCTTCGGGGTCGCTTGATCGCTTAAAGAGTTGGTCCCAAAACAGGCCCATGGGGTGGACGAGTAGTAATGCAATAATAGGAGTAAGGCTAACGCTAGGGTATCGCAGGGAAAAGAAGAGGTTTGTAGAAGAGCCAGCAATGGAGAAGATGATGGACAGGAACCACATGCGTGGGGTATCAATGGACAGGGAGAGGTTGTCGGTAGCGGCTACGGATGCTCTTACTTGAGCGTAGGGCGAGTTGTCGGAAGGGTTTCCCTTCATATCGTGCAAATCAGCGCCGTGGTCCTCGTCTGAGGCTTCATCGTCATCTAGCGCAGTGCTTGAAGAGGCAGAGCTGTCAAACAATGGGGCGCCCGCGGTGGAAGGGTCGAGGCCACTTGCGTTGAACCTGGCCTCGAAACGAGATTCCTCGTGCCCAGCAGAGGCTACACCAAGCGTTGTGCTGCTACGACTAGCGTCTCCCGTCCTGCGACGCGATCCAGCGGCGCCCAGTAATGAATCAGCGCTGGAAAGCCTACTCTTACCCTTTGTCTTTGGCAAGGCCCCAGTCCCGTGATTTTGGTCAGGTTCGTCAGGGCTCGACGAAAGAATGGGCAGGACGCCATATGAGCCTGGCGGTGCGGTCAGCACGTGCTGCAGGGAAAGGGCAGTGGGCCAGCCTTGTGCGCCGTTGCTCGTGTGCGCCCATCTAAAGGGGGCGAGAGGCGAGAGACGAGCAGTGGTGCGGGCGTGTCGCAAACAATAATCATAATGGCTAGCTTACCTGTACCCTGGGCCGGGCTGGACCTCACCAGGAGGGGCACTCTTGACATGGTTTTTGTGAGGGATTGGGAAGGGTCGTGGGCGCGTTCAGCTGGCAGATCAAGGCCGTCATCAGAGCTGGCTTGGGGTGTGGGCAAGTGTGTTGCTTTTGCTGGGAGGTGCTGTAACTCGACGCTGACCGTCACAGTCGCAGTCGCAGGCACGGGACGGGACGGGTGGCGCGTGTGTCCGGGAGGATAGGCAGGCGAGGGAGCAGCAGGTGGCAGGAGCGACTCGTGCCCGGCCTCGTCATCCATATGTACTGGGGGGCGCATCCACAAGTGTCGCCAGGACGGTGCAAGTGGTCCTGTTTGCGACGCCTGTGCAGCTCCACGCGGGAGGACAATCAGATGATCAGATAATATTCCACAGGGCTCCGCTGGGTTGGGCCGTAATTCTATTCTTTGCACCATCTGGCTAGGCAGAACCGCGGCCGAGCCATCATGACGTGAACAGGGCGCGCCCGCAGCCAATGGCGCCCGCAGCCTCTTTACATTACGCGGTTAGATCCGAACGGCCATGTGGGCGTGGGGGGCCCATCAAACCACTGCCGTGCGCGCCAGCCGCCGCCTGCAGGTCATGGCCTCCTACCTGCATGCCAGTACACGCCCCGGCCATGTGTGTAGAGCCACGACGCATCGCCATGTAGCACCGAGAGCATGTTGTTTTTTCTCTCTCTATATATAAAGCGCCTAGTTCATACACGCGTGTTTGTACAGCGCACGCACACCTACATGGCTCCCCTCAATGTGACGTAACCTCTTCTTCCTTCACATGCACATGACCAGCTACGCCCGCGTGGCCATTGGCTCCAGTCCCGGCGGTGAGGCTCTCAACCATCTTGATAGCGCCCTCCGTGTCGTCCTTGTTATACAGAAACAACCCCTGCAGCGATGCCGTACTGACTGCATCCACGAGGCCTAGCTCTCTGGCCCTGGCCATAAATCTCTGCTTCGCTTCCCCACTTGCATCGAAATCGGCGTAGAACCGATCCCATAGCTGTTCCATCTGGTACTCCGTCGCCTCACCCAGTCGCACAGTCATGTCCACGCGCCCTGGCCTCACAAGTGCTTCGTCCAGTCTCTCGATATGGTTCGTCGTCAGGAAGATGATGCGCTCCTCCGCGCTAGCGACCCCGTCCAAGGCGTTGAGAAGCCCGGAGAATGTCACCGACGCACTCGCGTACCCATCGGCGCCGCGAGTTTTCCGGTTCATAAAGGCAACGTCCACGTCCTCGAGCAGCACGACGGTGCGACGCGGGACTTTGGTCAGCAGGTGGTTCAGCCTGTCGTCGGTGAGGCCGCGCTCGCTGACATTGAGAATGGCAATGTTGAAATCAAGATGACCTGCAACTGCCTGGATAAACGAGCTCTTACCGGTACCAGGGGGACCGTACAGCAGATATCCTCTTCGGTAGGGTATGCCCCGGTCCAGGTACCATTTGCGTGACGAGATGAAGGCCTCCATATCCTCTACAATTCTCTCCTTGACCCCGCGCTCGAGAACGACCGAGTCGAGTGGGCGCTTCCGCTTTGCATCGCCAAACTGCTGCCACATGGTGCCCATTGAGTTGTATATGACCGTCTTGCCCTCGTGTGACTGCTGGTAGATCTGGTGCGCCTCGGCGAAGATGTCCTCGAAGACATGGCGATGCGAGTACAGGGTCGTGAGGCTGATAGTCTCAAAGGGCACGCCGTCCTTTACATTGAGGCTGTTTCGTTCCCGCTGCCGGTCGACCAGGATGAAGGCGTTGTTGTAGCGCAAGAAATGCTTGCCCGGCCCGGGGACGAAGGAGAAGTGGGCGGCGTGCGAAGGCCCGTCGGGAGGGGTGTATGTTTGCACCTGCAGATGGTGCATGCGCGGGTCAATGCGGTTGAGGATTTTGGCGAGCACAGTGTTGTGGGCAAGCGGCCTGGCTCCGGCTTGCTGTGCGCGGTGATAGTTGGTCATCCATTGCAGGACCCAGGGATAGGCATCGTCATGGCGGGTGATCTCGAGATCAACGAGCATGCGGCGTTTAATGAATGCGGCGCCATGCTGCAATCCTTTCTGGCCCGTCCGCGCCGCAACCCCAAGCGCTGCGAGGCCGAAGCCCTATGGCATGAGTGAGCACACGTCGAGCATGGCGGCCATGGGCGGCAGAGGTCAATTCATACGGCGGTGAAGAAGGGATTGTCGGCAGCCTGGGAAAACAGCGATGCTGAGCTGTCGCCCCGGGCAGCAGTCATCTGCCGTGCCAGCTGGTGTTGTGGCGTGTTGGGTTCCATGGGCGGGAGAGAGATTGGCCTGCACACAAATTTGATAGGCCATGGACGCTAGCGCGGGACATCCAACTACACACCCCAGGGCGCGTGCGCATGTCACACAGCTACCGCTCAGCTCCAGCGCCCTGGGCTGCCTGAGACAGATAAGACCGTGTCTGCGCACAGCATGCCTGTACATACGCAAACATAGACATGTACACACATGTGTGTGTGTGTGTGCGTCTACATCCGCGCATCTAGACAAAACAAATGTCCTGCGTGGTATGGCGTGCAGCAAGGCCCAAGAGGGAGCTGCAGCTGCATGGAGAATCCGGGGTCGCGGAAGACGATCGCTCTTTCCCACGGCTGCGGAGGGGGTGGAGTGCTAGGGCGACGCTTGGACCGACCCTTCCCCCGTTACTGATAACCATGATAGCCGCCTGTGTGCCCATTCATCTGCCTTGACTCTTGCACTGACGCTTCTCTGCCTCTGGCTGCGAGCCTCAGTCCTTCTTCTCCTATGCTCCATGGCCACCGTAACCATCGGCAGACCCTATTTCGACGCCCTCCTGCGCAGGTATGTCCCTACACCTCTTGGCCGAGACCACCCGTCCTATATGGCCTCTGCTGACTAGACCCATAGGGCCGAATTAGTTAGTACTCGTCCCTGGGCCCAGATGCCACGGGCGCTAACAGAGACGGCCAGCATGCTCCCACTCAGCATGTCAAGTATGGCACTGAGCTCTACAGCAATGTCACCATCAGCAAGGCTGAGCACGACTACATGGTGCGCCCCCTGTGGCACAGCACTGCTGCCAGTGTGCTTTCTAGCTCATGCACTAACAGACCGCCGGTTGTAGGTTCAAGCACTACGAGAGTACCGTAAGTATGCCCCACTCCAAGCCGCATGCTAGCTATAGTTTTACCATGGCCCCCACATATCACAGAATAGCCTCTCAGTTTGCCTAGATCTTCTCAAAAGCGCTCTATTCCGTGGGGGCCTAACGGTCGAGACGCTGGACACCCTTCTCCAAGATGAGGGCACTGCCACAAACGAAGAGCCATCGGGATACGACTACGAGTCAGAAACTACGCCCGTCCGAGCCAGAAGCAGAGCATTCGCAAGCACAGAACACGACCAATATGCTTTCAGTCAAGACGTACACTCGGCAGCATCTCCTCATCAACGCCTTCGTGCTTCTGGAGAGCCTGGGACTTTCGCCCATGGTCCAGAGAGCCAGCTAGATGACGATGAAGACGACCAGACACAGTCCCCGAGTCAGCTTATTCCACTTCATGCCCAGCGGACCGTACTAATCACGAACCTACCGGAACGCACTAGCCACAAAGACTTGGCAAGCATCGTACGAGGTGGAAGGCTCCTAGACATATTCCTCCGGAACGATCGATCAGCCACCATCTCCTTTGTTGAAGGTGCAAGCGAATTCCTCGCATACGCCAAGCGTAACGATATATACTTGCACACAAAAAGGGTAAGTTGAAGTCTGCTAGTCTTTTTTTAGTCTTTCGAATTCTATACTAACTCCGTCAGCTCGAGTTCCGCTGGAACGATAGACAATTTCACGTGCCCTCACACGTATCTACCAAGATTGCCAATGGAGCAACCCGGAACCTTGTGGTACGAAATATTGCCGGAAAAATCACGGCAGATCAGATCAGGGATCATCTAGATCATATCCACAACCTAGTTGTGGTCCACATCTACTTTAAGAACGGAGATGCACACATATCCACCAATTCCATCCACAACGCCCTCTTCGCCAGGACCTGCATGATGTCGCGCACTGCATACAAAGGCGCACGCATTGAATACTACCCGGACGAATGCGCTCAACCGCTGCCCCAACCTACAAAAGCCTATGCTCAACCTCAACGCACTCACGTGAAAACTGCACCTCTGGTCAACCAATATGCTCTTCTGGACATCGGTTCAGATGATGAGTCTGAGTCTGATGAAGACTCATATGGTATCCACGGCGTGCAGGTTGGTGGTTGTCGTTTGCCCAATGGTGTAGCAGTATAGGCCACTTGACAAGTAGCTGCTCACCCGTTCCGGCTCAGTGCAGCTGGAAACTACAGTGGCCTTAGTGCGCACGGGTGCCCTAGAAGCAAGTCAAGCGGAACTAGTCCTCTATATGGTCTCTCAACCTTGAAGAGGCTGGTGTCAAATTTCGACTACTTTGAGCATTTCCCAAAGAGAATTAGAGTCGCATAAGATACGGCGGTTACTACAAATTTTGCAGTACTAGGTGGGTTTAGTAAGCAGAGTGGTTGTGTGCGTATCGCTGGGTCAATCAGGCGTGGTAATTTACATCCCTACTCGAAGCGGTGGTTTGGTTCCTGTTTTTTTCTGTATTGATACCCTTGAACTTCTGTACCTCTGTCGGCGAGACTATGCTCTTAATAATGGATTGCGAAAGACCTTCATTCTCTCAGCTCCTGCCAAGTGTGGCATGGAGAATTGTTTGCTGTCATGCCAAGGATGCCCACTAATGCAGCTCGTTTAGTTTTAGCGACGATTAGCTCTGCATGAGTTGCACGTCACTGCAGCTGCTGTACGATCGTGCATATCCCCGCCTTGATACGATAAAGCACGCGAAGCTGAACTTGACCATCACATAACTCTGGCGTTGGGTCAGAACACCAGAGGTCAGGAAGAAACATGGCGCCGATTGTCAAAGTAGCAGTCATTCAACTGTATCCAAAAGTATGTGCTTGTTACCCCACCTTACCCCACCCCCGCCTCCACTTCACCTTCGACCATGTTCCTGCCATTATGCACAACGCACTGTATGGGCACTGTGGCTGACCTTGGTAGCCTCTGCAACCCGAACAAAATTTCACCAAGGCAGAAACATTTATCCGCTCTGCAGCCGCCCAAGGCGCGGAGCTTGCCGTCTTGCCCGAATACCACCTGACCAACTGGAAGCCCAAGGACCCAGAGTTTCTGGCGGTAGTGGAAAAGTGCTCGGACTATGTGAAGAAATACCAAAAGCTAGCCAAAGAATGTGGGATATGTGAGTTGGCGAGATATTTTAATTGAGTCATTGGCTGCAAAGACTATAGATCACTAACAAAGGGGTCCCAAAAGGCATTGTCCCAGGCACGATTGTAGAGAGCCACAAGGAGAACGAAAAAGAGCAGGACAGATTGCTGAACGTGTGCTATTTTATCGACCACCAGGGTAATATTGCCGGAAAATACATCAAGAAGAACCTATGGGGCCCTGAGCGTGAGCATCTCACGGGCTCGGGCCGCGACTTGCATGAGGTGTTTGATACGCCCGTGGGCAAAGTGGGATTGCTGATATGCTGGGATCTTGCCTTTCCCGAGGCATTTCGCGAGCTTATCGCACAAGGCGCAAAGATTATCATCATCCCTACCTTCTGGACGCTAAATGATTGCAATGAGGCGGGACTCCAGCAGAACCCTGCGGCTGAAGCGCTCTTCCTCAACTCAATACTCACGGCTCGAGCGTTTGAGAATACGTGCGCTGTTATCTTTGCGAATGCGGGAGGGCCGCCGGGCAAGGGGTATGCTGGGTTGAGCCAAGTGACTGTGCCGTTTGTAGGCCCGCTGACGAAGCTGGGAGGCAGCGCAGAGGGCATGAGTGTTGTTGACATTGACATGCAAGTGCTAGAAGATGCAGAAGCCAATTACCAGGTTAGGGCTGATCTGGCAAAGGACGATTGGCACTATGATTACAGACATGGCAAGGGACCCCTGGGCCGAGGCAAGGAGAGACTGTAAAAGTCTGGCTAGACTGTGGTATCATTGATGTATTTTTTGATTTGCTTCAAGCAGTTCTTATTATATACATGCTTGCCAGAAGCTGTCAAATTGAAGATCGAGAGAGCCAAGAAAAAATGAGAGAGAGAGAGAGAAAAAACAGAGGAATTCGCACAAACGCCTTCATCGCCTGTACCCATGGTATATTCCACAAACTGGTAACTCCAACATGGGTTTGTCGTCGCACGCAGGGCCGACCCTGTTGGTAGCCAGGGGCGTCCATCACAACGTGGCTTTAGCCTGGGGTGGAACCGCTATCTTCGCTGCTGCTGCTAGAAGGGTCGCTCATTAGGCCGTAGCCCACGCTGTGCGTGGTCGAGCCGGCCCGATCTGTAGTCCAAGTCTCGCCAATGACTATGACCCTCGTTTTGCCGCCTTCCAAAAAGTTCGCCTCGTCCTTGGTCAGCACGGCGGAAATCTCTTTTGAGTAGACGCTGCGGTAGAAGTCGAGAAAGTGGGCCTCATCCTCGAAGACCATGTCGGAAATGCAGTCAAAGTCGAATTCTTCGTTGAGCACGCCCCTCAGCAGCAGCGGGGGGCGGTCAACGTTGGCAGGGCCGCCAAAGCCCTTCCGGACAATCCGGGCCAGGTAGCGACGGTTGAAGGTGATGGGCCAGCAGTGACTGAGCAGCGAGTAGGCCAATGGTATATGCGTGTTTTCGTAGTGGTCTCTGAACTGCTCCGACGTGATGTGGCTGTTGCGCGTGACGAAGAGGACAACGGTGTACGTCATGCTGGACGGTCCGGGGTAAGGAACTTGTTCCGGACGGGTATGCGCTCTGGAAACTGCTTGTTTCTTTTGGCGGAGAGGACGAGAGGGCCGAGAACAGGGGAAGGGGAGCGGGCGCTCTTGTAGTCGTAGTGAGCAGCAGTGCAAGTGTGCGGACTCGGTCGGCCTGCCTGCTATGTACGTACATACATATGTAGGGAGGATGCACCCAGCACGCACCGCCCACGACGGCCCTGTGTGGCTTATATGGACGCAAGCGCGCCAGCTCAGTGGATGCGAAGCTATACCTAGGGGCAGGCTACGGACTTGAGGCCGTCTGATGCCATGGGGTGGCTACTTTTGTTTTTTTTTTGGCGTTAGCTGTCTCCCATGCGATGCCAGAGGGAACCTAGGGGCGAGTCAGGCCCGCAGAAGAGCCGGCGCCGGCGCAGCTGCCTATCGATAACGCCCGCCACTAGCACCAACGCCCGCCCACAGAACAGAGAGGGCCAAAATTGCGCCAGGCCAAGGTGGGGGGGAAAGAGGCCCTCCTCCAAGACGACGACGACGACGCCGCCGACACGACCAGCCCGCCCAGCACACCACCACCACCCGCCACTCCCCCTCTCCCTCTTCCTCTCCAACCATGAGTCTGCGCGAGCGAGTCCCGCCGCAGTACCACAATGGCGAGCCCGCCCGCCGCGCCCCCGACGACGACTCGGACGTCGAGGAGGAGGCCATGGCCAACGACTACCGCGAGCAGGTCCAGTACGACAACATGGAAGATCTCGACCGCATGCTCTCGATGACGGGCAACCACGACATCCACGCCCAGCTGCAGGCCGCCGCCACGCCCCTCGAGTTCCAGGCCACGCTCGAGACCAAGTTTGCCAGCTACGACAGCTACTGCAACCTCTTTCACTACATCCTCAACTCCGAGGGCCCCGTCGACCTCGAGGTCCCCAACTACTACTGGGCCTGGGACGTCATTGACGAGTTCATCTACCAGTTCAACAGCTTCTGCAGCTACCGCCAGCGCGTGGCCCAGAAGAGTGACAATGAAGAGGAGATTGCCCTGTTGCGCGAGAACCCAAACACGTGGGGCTGCTACAGCGTTCTCAACATCCTCTACTCGCTCATCCAGCGCTCCCAGATCAGCGAGCAACTTGCCGCCATGAAGCGCGGCGAGGACGCCAGCCTGTATGCCGGCGAGTACGGCAACCGCCCGCTGTACAAGATGCTGGGCTACTTCTCCATCATTGGTCTCCTCCGCGTCCACTGTCTGCTGGGCGATTTCAGTCTAGCACTCAAGACGCTCGACGACATTGAGCTGAACAAGAAGGCCATGTTTGCCCGTGTCATGGCCGCCCACTTCACCACGTATTACTACGTCGGATTCGCGTACATGATGATGCGCCGCTACTCGGACGCCATCCGCATGTTCAGTCACATTCTCGTCTACGTTTCGCGCACAAAGAACTTCCAGAAGAACGCCCAGTACGACTCCATCACCAAGAAGAACGACCAAATGTACGCCCTCGTCGCTATTTGCGTTGCTTTCCAGCCTACCCGCCTCGACGACACCATCCACACTGCGCTGAGGGAAAAGTACGGCGAGCAGTTCAACAGGCTCCAGCGCGGCGGACCCGAATCGCTCCCTTTGTTCGAGGAACTCTTCCGCACCGCCTGCCCCAAGTTCATCAGCCCCACGCCTCCCGACTTTGACAACCCAGAGATCAACATTGACCCCGTCGAGCACCACCTCCGCATCTTCATGGACGAGGTCAAGAACAACATGATGTCGCCTACAGTCAAGAGCTACCTCAAGCTCTATACGACTATGGATCTTAAGAAGCTCGCTGGTTTCCTAGAGGTTGAGCCGGAGAAGCTGCGGTGCTGGTTGCTTGTCAACAAGCAGAGGAGCAGGCAAATACGATGGGCCGAGGGCGGTCTCCTGGATGGCGACGTTATCCAGGCCAGCGACCTCGACTACGCCATGGAGGGTGTAAGTAGAGGCTGCTCTGAAATCAAAGATGACAATGCTAACAAGAAACAGGATCTAATCCACGTTTCCGAGGCCAAGGTCGGCAGGAGGCTCGTAGACTGGTACCTCCGCAACCTGGCGAGGACGTACTAGGGGGCTGGGAGGGATTTTAGACATGAACTATTCAGATTTCGAAACCTGTTCAATAGAGCATTGCGACTTGGAGTTGGAGGGTTTCACGGCGTGCACATTTCAAAAAGCAGGATTTTATTTTTGCGAGATGCGGAATACGCTCTGGCAACGGGGAGACGGAATTGGCTCCAGGTTGTAGGGTATCCCATGGCGGGATGACGGTGCCCGCCCGCGTGTGCTGGTCGGGCCGATGGAAGGAAATGATTACATCTAGGTAGAAGTAGGCGAGTGACGAGGCAGATGAATACCAAACAAGCCTTTATGATTGCAATGCGCGTCTGACGGGATTGGGAGTGAGATTGCGGTGGCTTTGGTTTGGAGAAGCAGAAGGGTCGCAACAACATGACGTGCCGAATTATGTCGGACTGCGCGATGGCTTGCAGCGGGGGATGGGTGCTAGCGCGCTGGGGAAAGGGCATTTGCATCTGAGCAGGCACCGCTTCTACTCGACCAACCTCAGCCAAACAAGATCGACGAGCAGGCACCGCGTAAAACAAACGTGCCAGGAGCACGCACGCCGGAAACAACATGGGCACCAGGTGAAGCTTTGCCCCCCCGCCCGTCTGGGCTGCCCATGCCGCTCATGGCCTTTTTCTATTGCCCGATGCGCCTGGCACCTGGCTAACAACGACCCTCTTGTCATCACGATCGCCCCTGTGCACACCGACTCGAGATCAACTCCCTTTTTCAGTCGACCGCCTGCCTTTCCGGACTGCTGGTGCATTGTTACCTACCGTGCTTGCGACTACGGCGGGGTAAATCAATCAAGACGCCACCTCTCTCCACTCTTCGACCAAAGCAACCACACAACACGCGCCGTGTGAGCCTCCACTAGCCACAATGGCCCTCGACTCAACCGCAGTACCTGGAGCCTCGCCCACGAGCAATCCGTCAAACACACAACCAGCTTCGGGCTCGCTCTCCCGCCAGACGTCCACCCCAGCTTCTCGACGAGCCTCCCAGATATCCCCCATGGGACCTCCACCGCTCCCTCTAGCATCCCCAGGAGGCACCGTCCCAGCAGCAGCATCCGCGCACCCACACACCCACGCCTTTCCACCCCTCAGCCCAGGGTCAGCCAGCTACATGCACCCCAACCCCGCCGCTGACGATGCCTCGAGCGTCCCCATGCGCCACCCACGCCCCATGACGGCCGCCGAACTGCACCTCGAACTCGAAAAAGAGCAAGAAGCAGTCGTCAACCGCCTCACACGCGAGCTCTCCGCCCTCCGCGCACATTCTGCCTCGGTCGCCTCAACCGCCTCTCTATCCAGCAGCGCCGCCGACTCGTCCATCGCACACGTCGACGGCCTCGTCACACCAGGCTCCATGCACCCCACGTCGTCGCGCCGCCACCGCAGCTCTTCGAGCGTGTCGCGCGGCGCAAACCATGCCGCGCCGCACCGCTACTCTGTTTCGTCGCAGCAGACGGGCGGCGGTACCTCGCGGTATGAGGAGGTTGCGGCGCAGAAAGCCGAGTTGGAGGAGGTCAAGAGGGAGAATGAGGGGTTGAAGGAGAGAATTAGGGAGTTGGAGAGGTTGATTAGGGAGGGGGCGGCCGCGCCAGTGGGTGGAAGTGAGGAGAGGGGGAGGAGTGGGGGGCCGAAGGGTGGGGTGAGATGAAGAGTATGATATTTTCTTCGAATCGGTTCTTCGATAATGAGGTCAATGGCTTTTTTTGGGGATTGACTTGCTTTCCTTTTTTTGCTTTTTTGGGAGGGGGGAGGGTGGGGAAGGGTGAAGAGCAGATAGAGTATACATGAGATTTATTCGTACAAATATCCATGGTTCTTGGATTCTTTTTTTTTTCTAACATTAATAATTTCACTCTTCCCAACATATCAGTATCAAGCGCAACTTGGCCATTTTCTTATCCCCCTTTTTTGCTTTTTTTCTTCTTCTCTGGCCCCAGTGGGTGGGTGGGGGGATATGCGCTGCGCGGGCGCGGGAAGGATGATCTACGCATGCATGTGCATGCATCTTTTTACTTGCTTTGCCAGATGCAGTGATATATATGTAATGGACGTTTGTACCAACAGTATGGGGGCATTGATAAGGGCCCTGACCGTAGGACGCGTATGCGTATTCCCAGTGTCGATCTCTATCGTCATTTTTTTTTCTACACTCGCGTGTGTGGGGGGTGCTGGTGGCGGTTTGTTTTTCTTGCCTTTTTTCTTTTGGACATTTTGTAGTAATGGGGGGAGGGTTGCAAGGTGGTGTGTACGTCATTTGGGTAACAACGACGTGTGTGGGATGAGGGAAGATATATCTTTGATGAAGCACAATGAGATGGCTGGGTTCTGGATTTTGTGTTCTTGTAAATCTTTTCTTTGTATTTATAGAAGTTCTCCGAAGAGGATTGCTGGATTGTTTTTTTTTATGTTTTTGATTTTCATACTGATCGAATTCTTACCAGATTGAACTGGTTTTTTTGTACGACCTGGGAGAAGGATTTCCAAACGCTTGTTTACGGGAATTCAGAGATTCTTGTTGCGTTCATAGAAAAGAGAGGTGGTCTGACAGAGGGGAGAAATAAAGAAGGAAGAGAAAAAAAAATGTCTTGTCTGTCTAGTATTCGCTCGACTTTCGTCTCCATATTCAAACCGAAGAAGAAGACAACCAAATCCTCCTCCCTGGCTGAAAAATCTGGTATTCATCCTTCCTCCCTTTCTCTCACACCCACCGCACCTTCCAACTGACACAAACCAGCGAAAATCTCGCACGTCTCTCCCCGCCCCTCCATCTCCACCTCTACTCAAACAAGTAATCCATTGTGCAAACCACCCCTGCACCAAGTCCCCAGCGCCATAGTCGCTGCGACAGAAAAGGGCATGATATCCGCATCGTTGTGTTCCATACCGCAATCCCCCCCTGCATCAAGATCCCTTACTTCGACAACTACACAGACGACATCAGCATCGGCACCACTTCCCTTCCCTAATCTGCCCTTAGCATCGCCGTCGCCACTGTCGTTGTCACCGTCATCATCGCCATTCTCGCCGTTTTCTGCATCGCCAGTGTCGCCAGTGTCAGAGATGGAGCAGAGAAAAGGGGAGAAAAGGAAGAGTAGTGTAAACAACAGCACCACTACACTAACGCGAGGCGAAGAAGCCTGCGTCTCCGGACAAAGTAGTAGAAGGACGAGTGTGAGATTCAAGGGTCTGGACGTCTAAAATATTCTTCTTCTTCTTCTTCTTCTTCTTCTTCTTCTTCTATCTTTTTCGTTGAAAAGCGTAAAGCCGTAAGGCGTTTAGGCGTCGGCAAAGAAAATGGGGGTCGTCTACATATCCTTTTTTTTCACTACACATCATATCCATATAAGTAACCTCATACTCTCACATGGCCAAAAAAAACTTCTCCCAAAACAATCGCCTTTAGAAATCCTTCCTCACAATGCACTCATTCTCTACGAGATTGCAAAAAACAAAAGTCTAACCGCTTTTAAGATGTGTGCTTAAAGGATTCGACGCGTCATCTTCCTATTCTCACCCAGCCTCTTTGCCTTCAACGCATCACGTCTCCGCTTCTTCCATGCCCGATTCAAATCACCCCGGTTCTCCCAGAACCACTTTTTGAACTCGCTTTCGGGCTTCGTGGCCTCTCCGGCCTCCCCATCTGCAGTAACACCCTCATCTTCCTCAGTCACATCAGCAAGCTTGCTAGCATTCGTGCGGGTGTTGAGGGAAAGCTGGTGCTCGGCGTGGATATCAAGGTCGCTGTCGTCTTCGTCGTCGTCACGTTCTTGGCTGTTGCGGCGCCAGTCGAAGGAGAAGCGGCGGCCGATAGCGGCAGTGTCCGGAGTTGGGGCTGCGCTGCGGAGGCCGCGCCATTCAATGTCGCGTTGGGTATATGGGGTGATGGGGGCGTCTTCGATAGGTTGGCCTGTGGCTTCTGTGGCGTCGTTGTCTGCGTTGTTGTCGAAGAAAGTAAAGGATGTGTCGATGGGGTTGAGTTTTTTGGTGGGAGTTGTGATGGAGTTGCCGGCGGGCTTTGAGCGCTTGAACAGGGCTTCGAGGGGGTGGACCTCTTTTTCGGCAGGTGGCGCAGGTTGACTCTTTTCTAGGGCTTTCTTGCTCTTGACGGCCGATGGTGCAGGTGATGCGGCTTCTGATTCTTCGGCTTCCGACTCTTCGGCTGACTCTTCGGAGTCTGAGTCCGCGTCTGAAGAATCCTCGTCTTCAGATGAGGATGAAACGACAGACGATTCTTCAGACTCGGATTCAGATGAAGATGGCGGTGGCGTAGCCTTCTTCTTTTTCTTCTGCTCCTTAGTGACCTTGGGCGTAGAAGATGTCTTCGATGTCCCATCGATCCATGCTTTCGCAGCTTCCGAGGGCGCATCTACCAGCTCCAGAGCTCTCCTGGCTTTCGCCTTTCCAGTCTCTGGCTCAACAACAACACCATCTTCATCCACCCATCCCAGACCATTAACGTAATCCACTGCAGGCTTCTTGGAGATTACAACATCTGGTTGCTTCAGAAAACTAGGAGTCTTGGTGTTCTTCTCGAACTCATGCACAACAACCTCCGTAGATTTAGACTTGTTCTTTTCCTTCTTCTCCTTCTTGTCCTTCTTCTTGTCCTTGAGGGCAACCTCGGTCGCAGCAACAGGCGTCAGCTTCGCCTTGAAGAGCAGCTCCGGCTCCTTTGTGTATTTGGAATGCTTGCGCTCCTTCTTTGCCTCCTTGTCACTCTTGTCCTTCTTATCCTTCTTATCCTTCTTGTCCTTTTTGGTCTTGGTCACTGGCTCAGTCCAGCCACGCTTGACCTTTCTGTCGTCCGGTAATTCGACGCCCTCCAAGACCCCCTGTTCTTTCTTTTTCCGTTCCTTCTTCTCCTTTTTGTCCTTCTTTGCGCGTTTTGATGGCCGGTCAGCCTCGCCCTGAGCTTCCTTTGCGGCCTCTGCTTCTTCGCGCGCCTTGCGCTTCTCTGGCTTGGCCATTTCTATGCGCACCTTTGAGCCCTTGAGAATCGTGCCGTTGAGCTTCTTCTTGATCTTCTGTGCTTCTGCCTCGGGTAGCTCTAGGTAGCCAAACCCTTTCTCGGGAAAGGTCTCGACGGTATGGTAGGAGATGTTTTGCGCAAGCGGCAGGACCGAAGGTGCCAGGTAGACCTTGAGCAGATCGGGGCGGAAAGGCGTGATATGTAGGCGGACAGTCTTGCTTTCGGGTTGCGCTTGGGGAGAATTAGGCGCCTGTGCGTCTGGCATTGAGGCGCAAGTTGGCGCGTGGGCGACAGGACGTGATTTTGGAGTCAGCAGAAGGGCGCCAGGTGCTAACAAGAAGAGAGGAAGCAGGTTCCAGACCGCCGCCCATGCGCGTGGTGTTTGTGTGTCGGAGGTGGAGGGGAAAGGAAAATGCTTAGCGTGACATGGACCCGGTTGTCTGGCGCTAGTGTAGACGCGGGCGGAGGTTTGAAGCTCCACTCGACCCGAACATGGTCGCCATCTCGACATCACGTTACTCGGCGTACGAGAGTCGGCTTAGCCTGTGACTTGCGCCCATTCTTTGCATTATCGAAGATATTCTCTTGAATTACACAACATGAGGCGCCCACCGTATCTCTTCTTTCTCCTCCTGACCTTCCTGTCCTCCCTCTCCATCTCCCTTGCCGCCTGTAAGCCACCTTTGCTACTTGTCCAGTTATTCGAAACCAGCTAAGCCCGTCACCAGCTCCGACGTCCTTTTGCAAGTGCACCTGTTTCGGGAACAGCACAATTGTCGCCCTCGACGCACCATCCGCTGCTAAGAAGCCCACGAGCCATGCCGAACCCCGCGCATCTAAGAAGACGTGCAACGACTGCAACCGCCAGTTCTGCCTTGGATACAGCTTTTGCACTGGAGAAAAGGAGGAGAATGTCCTAACTACGTGTTTCCAGAGGGACTCTGCCAAGGATCAGGCTGTCGTCTTCATCTTCATCGGAGCGACACTGGGGCTACTGGGTTGGGCTGGGCTCCGGCCATGGATTGAGGGGTGGAGAGAGGCACGTATCCGCCTGAGAGCCACGCTGAACTGATGCTGACTAAATACAGCGTTCGGGAGACCGGCGAAGCTACATTCCCATGCCAGGACAAGGCAATCAGTAAAAGCGGAAGACCAACCCGACATTCAAACATGCGTCATTTATGCAGCATAGATACAAAACAAGATACCCCAGTAGACAAAAGACCCTAGACACATGCACAAACTCCATATGCATACATCTAGTGTGACAGCAACATACAGCCTCAAAGTGTATAGTAGTACATGAAGGTCATCAAAACCCCCTCACATGGAATCCCCCGCACTCTTTTACTCCTTCTTGGACCCTCCTGTTATCCACCCAAACCAGCCTTTGCCGGTAGCCTCGACCTTGTTGACTGCCTTCTCAGCAGCGTTGTCCAATGGTCCGCCTACTGTCTGTGTTGATGGCGCCGGCGATGTGTATGATGTGTCGTTTGCCCTAGCCTCCTGCACTGCAGCGGTAATGCCCAGATTTGAGTTTCCTTGGGCTTCTAGTCGCTTGATCTCTTCCACGGCTAGCCTTCGCTGCTCGGCAATAGATTGGTCCTCCTTCCAGTCACCGTGCAGCCACCACAGCAGCTTGGACGGTGCTTTCCGCTCCGCCTTCTTCTTTTCCATCAATTCCTGTTCTTCGGCAATACCTGCGACAAGCGCAGCCTGTGCTGGTGACGCAGTCCCAGATGCGACAGCGGAGCGGGCGGCTTCGAGGATCCTGGCCTGTGTGCGCTCTTCTTCGGCAAAGTAAATTGCGCGTTTCCGCCGGTTGTAGACAATCATGTCGCCTATCGAGAAGACGGCGAGTACACCAACGCAACCTTTGTGGAATGTCAGCGATTGATTCTGGCGATTCAATTGGAGCATTGCAATTGCCCTCTGGGAACAAGACATACCAGTTGCAAATATCAATCCATAGACGGTAAACCGATGCGCCGCATCTGCTGCCATTCTGCCGTATAGATACATGTAATCCCACCTCGTCACCTGCGCCATCTTCGCCCTGTTTGCTGCCTCTCGTAACCGCTTGACCTTTTGCTGTGGTGTTTCATTTTTCGGCGCTGGATCAGCGAATTGTAGCGTCGTTGCCCGCCCACCAGGACGTGTGTGCGCCCATACTCCAGTGGCCGTGAAGCGTGTAGAGTCCTTTGGTGATTTGGACATTGTGTGGGCGGCGGTGGACGCACTCGAGTGTGGGAGTGGCGTGGGGTGGTGAGAGCGAGGATGCCGTCAAGACTTGCGGAGCGGGAGGTCGAATGATTCGACGATTTCCAAAAGTTGAGATGGACTAGGGTTGGATGCGGAGATTTCCGCCCTCTTCCCTGTCTCCACCCAGCCAACCCACACCCATCGTGCAGCGCTACTACTGTGAACACGACAAGTCGAGTTGTGCCACGAGTTTTTGGTCGTTGACTGCAAAGTCCTTCAAGATAGGGTTGCGGGACAGTTCTGCAGCACAGAATGAGTGGTCTGGGCTGGAGAGTGCTTCTTTCTCTTCCTTGTCCTTGAAACAAGCGTAGGCAATACGCGCCATGCGCCGTCACTCACACATTGAACCCGCACTACACACCACACATTGAGACACTGTAGATCCACTCTAGAATTGCTCTTTCAGATACTCAAAGCTGTATCGCGAATATGGCTCAAGAAGGGCAACAAAATCCGGATCTCGCCGCCATCTTGGCCACACTCGCAAGCCTACCTAAGCCGGAGGCTCAGCCATACCAGGACCAACAAGTTTATGAACAGAACCATAGTTATCAAGGGTACCAAAATCCCCCGCAGCACCATCAGCCTGAGCCGAGCCATCAATATCGACCACCACCTGACCCCCGTCTTGCTGGTCGTCCAGCACCCCAGCACCGACAGCCACCTCCCAAGCCCCAAGACCGCATCTCATCTCCGCTCATCGACCCTTCAACCATTACAGAATGGAAGCAAGGTCTCCGCTGTGTGAGTAAAATAGCAGGACAAAATCCTGATTTTGCTCCTGCCGTTCGCAAGGTGCGACATCCATCCTCTCCCCCTTCTGTACTCAGCGCTTACTACATGTACTAGTTGATGAAAGACCAAGAAGCAAACGTCAAATCTTGGGAAGCCGGCCGCAAGAAACTCATTGAAGAACAAAAGTTTCAGCGCGAAAACGAGCGCACGCATCGAGCCGCTTTGTACGCAACCTCTATCTTCATCCTACCCCAGTCTAAACTAACATCTTCCCAGATCATTACCTGGCCTCCTAGAAGGCACAGCACTCCTCCGCGTATGGTCCCCCCCNCGCCAAACTAACCTCTCCTCAGACGCCCGAGCGCGAAAAAGAAGAACTAGACCAATATGACGCAAAAGTGTACCGCGCCTGCAAAGCAATGGTTGACTCGCAGTCTTCATCGCTCAAAGCCCTTGGCGTCCCTTTTTTCGGCGTCAAACCGTATCTTGTGCTAGGAGCGAGTTATGATCCCATCGAAGTTGTGGATTCGCAAACAGTGGCTGTGGGAGAAGGGGGCAAGATTACCAAGGAGAAACTTTTGGAGCTGCAGAGAAAGATGTTGAATCATCTTATGGAGTTGTATGGGGATTGAGTAATTGAGAGGGGAGTTTGGGTTAGACTGGTGGTGGGGGGTTTAATGCTGCGGGGTACAATGATGCGATAGATGAGCGTAAGTCGGATTAACATGAATTTTCCAGGTCGTCAACTGGTTTTTTGTTACCTGATACTTTATCATTCCACATTCACACCCATCTATACACCTATCGACAACCCCCCACTTAATCTCTACCTCCCTTATCCTAACTCCCTCACCCTCACCGCACTATCAGGCTGCGTCCCTATCAACTCAACTGGCTTCGCATCTCCACAGCCTCATGCCTACTCTCCACCTGCTCGCCACTCTTTTTCCCGTCAACCAGGCCTTGCATGCTATACCCTGAGTCGTTGTTAGAAGCAGCTTTACCACCTTTACCTCCTTTCCTGCGTATAAGCAGTACCCCGATAATAGTGGCGCAGATTACGACGACGGCGGCTACGACGCCGCCGACAATAGCACCGATATTTAAGAAGTTGGAAGATGAGGAAGCGGATGGAGATGGGGTTGGGGAGTTTGAGAGAGAGACCAATGAGGTGCTCAGACTAGCAAGGGATGAGAAGGACTGCGATGCCGTTGTGGATGCATTCACAATGTTTGCGGCTGCACGAAGCGTTTCTGTTCGCCCTTTGGTGCCGCACGCAATGTGTTCGTAATCTTGATCGGCCCTATCGTTGAGCAGGAGGGCGATGGAGCAATATCGGTTGGTGGCATTATAGAGGTAGTTTTTTGTTTAGCGAAATTCTGACTTTTGAGGTTGCATGGGGAGCAGTGTTTGTATAAGGGGGAAGGGAGTGCTGACTATGAGACAGCACGGCCTCCTATTTCGTTGGATGCTTTGCAAAAGCCTGTTTTACAGGAGTTACTGTCGAGACAGAAACCTACTAGTCTGCAGTCACTGGATGCCGTTACGGTTGTTGGGCAGAAGCCACTTAGTCCACGTGCGGTGTCGAATTGGCAGTCGTAGCCTGAATTTGCTACTCGGGGCTTGTAGGAATTGCCTTCTACGTAGCCGTAGGTATAAACTTGTCCGGCAGCTTGTCTTTTTTCAGGTGCGGGTGTGGGTGGGGGAGCGGAGGCGTGATCCTGTTGCGTATCACTGCAGCGCTGGGAGATATGAGATTCAAAACACAGAAGAGGACTAAGAATGAACCTAAGATTTTGAACATGACTGCTTGAGTGAGTTACATCGTGGCGGAAATGGAGATTAGAAAGGGAGGGGTTAGCTACACAGGTGCATGGATGTCGGTAATACTGCATAACAATCAAAGATCATGGCTGCGGGATCTTAGCCGTGCCGGCACCTGTATAGTCTTCAGCCTTGACGTCGCCATTATAACCTGGCTACAGTTGCCTAAATAGTAATGTGGCTATATTCAACGGATTGAGATATTCGTGGTTGTGCGCTCATTTTGCTTCCAGGTCTTGCTTAGTTAACCTGTTACGTAGAAACAGGGAGAAAATATCTCTACAAAGAAAAGATATTGGTATGCACATTCTAGATAAACTAGGATGCAGATCACATCTCAGCTCTGAAAAGACTCCTGATGGATATGGCTGCTATGTAACAATTGTTACGCTGCGCGTGTTATGAATTGTATCGTGGTGTTTATAAGCATGAAGCGGCTGGGCGGATAGTAGATAGTAACGATTGGTCAGAAATGCCCGATGGCTGATTAGATCTCACTACTAAGCGCCCAGCGCTGATTCATTCACAGAGGACGTATCCGCTCACTCCTGCTAGTCCCGTTCCTGGGGTGCGTGGGATGCGGCTCGGTCACTTTCACTCTTGTTGGCCTTGCTTGTTTCTTTATCAGCAGCCAAGGTGCCAAAATTTACCAGAATGTCATTTCCCTTGCCACATTAACTCCTGAACTACACTCTTTTTTTTTGGTGGGTCAATCGTCATGGCGATACAGCGGAGCATGCGGTCGCTTCTGCAGGCAGTCGCATTGCTAGTTCTGGTATTTGTTCTGATCACGGGGGTGGGGATTTTCCAGTATGGCGACAGTTTTCCGAGGACTAACTTTAGCCTTTCCGGAAATTCAAATTCAAGTCCAGCAGGTAGGAAACATTCGATTTCAGCGAGTTTCTATACTTACCTTTACAGCGGAACCTGAAGAAGCCTCTAAAGATCAACCGGCACACTCGCCGGACTTGACGCCTTCTTTGTCATCCTCAACAAAAGGCAATGCTACTCTACGAGCGCAAGCGCCACCATATATCCGCGCAATCATGGATCCGTTGGATGTGACATTCCCACGTCTGGAGTGCCCACAGCCAAACCTCGAGCGCTATAACTACCTAGGGCGCGCGTCGGAACCCACAATTCATGCGCAACTCCCAAGGTACTTCTTTGCGCTCGACTTGTATCAATGCGTTGATCTCCTTCCACGACTCATTGGTTCAATTTTAGAAACCATGCTTTTCCTTGGTCCACCAAATTGTGTGCTGTCCATAGTTGAGGGAAGATCGCACGATGGCACCTTTGAAGTGCTTGATGAGCTACGTTCCAACATGGAACTTTTAGGAATCAAATATCATCTACAAACCAGCGATATCAACCCGTTGGCCAAAGGAACGGATCGTATTGAAGCGCTTGCTGAGCTTCGAAACCTCGCGCTCAAAGATCTCATGGAGCACCCGGATCATTACGATAAGGATACCACTGTCATATTCTCCAATGATATTGCACCTTGTATGGAGGACTTTTTAGAGTTAATCCATCAGCGCAAGTTTCAAGGAGCCGATCAGACCTGTGCCATGGATTGGACATATGTTGGTGAGAGCCCAACTTTCTATGATGTCTGGATTGCTCGGGGCATGACAGGCGACTTATTCTTCAATATCCCTCCCGAAAACGGCGCCTGGGACTTTGCATGGGATCTCTTCTGGAACGACGAAAAGTCAAAGTCGCGATTTGCCGCCTCGAAACCTTTTCAGGTGTTCTCGTGTTGGAACGGCGTGACGGCATTCACCGCCAAGCCGATTATGGAGAAGAAGATCAAGTTTCGGGGGCACATCGAGGGAGAGTGTTTTCAGGGAGAGCCGAAATTATTTGCCAAGGACATGTGGTTTCACGGCTATGCCAAGATTGCCGTAGTACCAAGTGTTAATGTGGAGTATAGTGATAAGGCGGCGAAGAAGATCAAAGCACTGAAGGGCTACACTTACAGTCATGTTGAGAATGAAGACGATGATATCAAGATTAACTGGAAGACTTCACCGCCAGAGAAGGTGAAGTGCATGCCTGAACATACTCCCCAGTCTTTCAGGCCCTGGGATGAGGGATTGCGATCGAATGGCTCGACGGGCAGGACATGACATGTAATATCTGTAAATTCTAATAATTAATGGCTCCTTTTTCAACGAAGAAAAGCCCATACATCAGCGCTTAAACAGACTGTTGGGAAGTGGAGGTCAGCACTCCGATTGACTTGAACATCCCATCAGCCTACATCTCATCATGCATACGCATACGCATACGCGAGAAGCCCGCTGTCCGATGCATGCATGTCCTAGAACTTCCTTTGATCCAGTCCTATAAACATCCTCGATCCTCTAATTACCCTAAATCAGCATTCCGCTTGTATCCCTATACGAGTCGGCTCCGCATTGGGGATCCTTCAGGCCGGACACAACTGATTGGACGAGCAACCCAAAATGCCATTGTCGCTCGTGCTCCAAATCCCATAAGCATTGAACGTAGCTAATCAAGCGGACCGATAGAAAAACCCGGATTTTCCATGTGATGGGGAAAGACCAGCAAGTGGAATTATGACACTGGAAACGAGTCGTTGAACTCTTTTGTTATGTGTCCCGCAGCAGTGGGTTTTCTGCCAGCTTTATCAATTTGAGTTTGCCAACGCACTCTGGAGTCCTTCCACCTGCATAATGCAACTCGAATCCTTCAAGAAAACCAAGCACCTAACCCATTCCCGGAAAACGACCACTTTGTCCTCGCGGGGATACCCAAATGGGGATCCCGGAAATCTCCCTCCGCCACCGAACTCTAAACTGTCGGGGGAAACGGGTGTTATGCGGGGTAGTGTCAATGGTCCCCTCCAAGTACCCCGCAAACTAGTAGACATGCGGGATTACAGCTATGGACACATGGTGCAATTGAGTGTGGCGTAGCCTTCTCTCCGGAGCGATCCCGCTGTTTAGATTCCCACAAGTGAGTTGATGACGTTTGTTTGCCGATGGGGTATCTTGCGGGCAACCGGCTGGAAGGAATACTGGGTGGGATCGACGGGATCTCGACGTGGTGCATGTGCATGATGGAAAGCGGGTAAGGCCTAGTTATCGGGCGAGAGATGGGGGTGTGGAAGGCTAGGTGGAGTGTCGATCTTGTGGGATTCGCGCGGGAGGGGTATGTTGTACTATGTACATTTGCCCGCGTATATAGATGTGGGTGTTTTGCCGGGGGCTTCGGATGTGTAATTCGCCTCTTCCCTCTCTCCGCACATCGATTGGGCTTTGATCGTTGAAATCTAGCAATTCATTCTTGATTTGGATTTTTTTTCGTTGCAATCATGGTGCACTTTCGTACGGATATCGGAGCGACGAATGAGGCAGCAGATCCGAATAATGAGAACTATGCCAAAGAGCTCGAAACTGATGTGTTGATTGTAGGCGCTGGCTTTGGTGGCGTCTACTTGATGCATAAGCTTCGTCAGCAAGGGTTCAAGTGCAAGATTATGGAGGCTGGGTCGAATCTTGGGGGCATCTGGCATTGGAATTGTTATCCTGGTGCCCGCGTTGACTCACAAGTCCCTGTCTACGAGTACAGTATGCCGGAGGTTTGGAAGGTAAGCGTTTTTTTGATACTTTTGGTTGCGTGTAAACTGACGTATACCAGGACTGGACTTGGTCATGCCGGTATCCCGGCACAGAAGAACTCCAAAAGTACTTTGACCATGTCGAGAGGAAACTGGATATAAAGAAAGACTGTGCTTTCAATACAAGAGTCGTTGGAGCACAGTACGACAAGCCGTCTTCAAAATGGATAGTGAAGACCGAAGATGGCCGAACAGCGCGCTGCAAGTATTTTCTCCTAGCTCTCGGCTTCGCAGCGAAGCGATACTTTCCAGACTGGCCAGGCATGGATAAGTTCAAGGGCGAAATCCACCATTCGAGTTTCTGGCCTGCGTCTGGAGTAGATGTCAAGGGCAAGCGTGTTGCGGTGATTGGAACCGGTTCGACGGGTGTTCAGATTGCTCAAGAGACTTCCAAAGAAGCTGCCAGTATAACGCAGTTTGTCAGGACACCAAATCTCTGTCTGCCCATGCGACAAAAACCTCTAACGAAAGAGGAGCAAGAGAAGAGGAAGCAGAGCGAGTATGAGGAAATCTTTAAGAAGAGATTGACGACTTTTGCCGGCTTCAGTTACGACTATGTTCAGAAATATACATTTGAAGACTCACCCGAGGAGCGTGAGGCATTCTACGAGAAACTTTGGGAGAATGGTGGTTTCGAGTTCTGGCTGGTACGTAATTCACATGCGACACATATCAACTTCAAACTTACCCGGTTTCCTAGGCAAACTACAAAGACCTCTTATATGACAACAAAGCCAACCGCGAAGCCTACAATTTCTGGGCAAAGAAGACCCGCGCGCGGATATCAGACCCCGAGAAACGCGAGATTCTCGCACCGCTGGAGCCACCCCACGCCTTCGGCACGAAGCGACCGAGTCTAGAACAAAACTACTACGAGATGCTTGATAAACCCGAGAACAAGGTCATAGATGTGAAGAAGACGCCCATAAAGGAGATCAATGAAAAGGGCATCGTGCTCGCCGATGGTACTCTCCACGAATTCGACGTAATCGCGCTTGCCACCGGCTTCGACTCTGTAACCGGAGGCATCAAGAATATGGGTCTAAGGGACGTCGATGGCGTCGAGCTGTCAGAGAAATGGAAGAATGGTACATACTCGTATCTGGGTATGACAATAAGTGGCTTCCCGTAAGTAACCCCCTTCTCTTTCAACATTTCCCCTCCAACTGATAATCGTAAAGCAACACATTCTTCCTCTACGGAGCCCAAGGTCCCACCGCCTTCTCCAACGGTCCAACATGCGTGGAGGTTCAGGGCGACTGGATCGTCGATGCCATAGTCAAGCTCCGCGATGAAGGCATTACGTACTGCGAGCCGACACATGAAGCTGAGCAGCAATGGCGGAAGATGATCACGGAGCTGAGCGACAAGACATTGTTTCCGCAAACGAAGTCGTGGTATATGGGGGACAATGTACCAGGAAAGGTGCGAGAGCAATTGAGTTTTCCGGGCGGGTTTCCTTTGTACAAGGAGTTGACAAGGAAGGCGCTTGATAATGGGTTTGAGGGTTTTATTACTGCTTGATTGATTAGTTGGTTAGATTAGATGTAGTGTAATTATTTTCATGTGAAAATGATCCAGCCTCGGTATTTCTGACATGAACTACCTCTTTTAAGTGTGGTATCGATGTAAGACGTTGGAGGTGGACAGTGCCTGGGAGAACTAGAATAGCACATCCATGTTCCAGCATCTGATCGACTTGGTAGGGATAGGTTTCCAAAGGTAGAGAGACCTCATATAGGCTAGGATGTCATTGGTTGCATTGGCTGCATGGTTGCCAAAAGCGGACATTCTGCGATTGGACTTTACTACCGGGGTTAACGAGAATATACACATTGGTTCCGATGCAAATGGTATCGTCTCATAATGGCAGCAGACATTTGTCTTCTTGTTTTCAGTAACTAATGACACTTCCAAAAAGTCGTTATCAAGCGTATCTTGGAATTTCGTCCGGATGCTTCCTAGTACGCCTCGGTAATAGTACCAGGGTCGGTGTCGCGTGGGATTTACGCCGACGCGACGTCACGACCTGGGACTTTGCAGGTCACCAGCACCGGCGCATACCTCATGGAATCCATACGCGCCCCATCCGCACTACGCCCTGTACCATGAGGACGGCGCTCCTTTGGGGACGTCAGTGTTCCCGACAAAGTTTCCCAAGACTCACGTCCCGCGCATTAAATCGCCCATATATAAGCGTTGCTTCTATTCGCAGCCGATTCTCAACCCCGAAATTCAAAGGTAAAACAATACTATGGTCTGGCGCAGCGACCGGGGCTGCGGGCGGCACATTACTGAGTTCGCTTTCGTTCGTAGAGGTAGCCAGTAACAAAGCTGGCAATGGAGAGCAGACGCACGAAGAAGCAATGCTGGAGGCATCGAGGAAGGAGTTGGATGAGCAAGTACCGCATGCGCTGAGGAACTCTGCGAAATACAGGCGGGGCATATACTTTTTTTTCGAGGACTACATAATCGAGCCCATCGCCACTGGTCTCCGCTTCCTGCATTTGGTCATTATCTTTGTTCCGGTTATAGTGACTATACCTGCATTATGGCTTGGCTCAAGGCAACCTGATAGAGATAACGAACGAAGTGGGACTTTGTGGTGGTACGGCTTTCTGGTGGGGTCTATGGAGAGGGCGGGAGCTGCCTTTATCAAGGTGTGTTGCCATGTTTCAGATCATTCGACGCATGGTGAAAACTGACTTTCTACAGCTGGGACAATGGGCGGCTTCACGAACGGATGTTTTCCCGACCGAGATGTGTCTGATCATGTCAACACTCCACTCTAATGCACCGGCACATTCTTTAGAAGTAACGAAACGTACCATCGAGGAGGCTTTTGACGGACAAAAATTTGAAGATATTTTCGAAGAGTTTGACGAGAAGCCACTAGGCGTGGGTGCAATTGCCCAGGTTTACAAAGCGAGGTTAAAGCCACATCTTGCGACACTGAAGGAAAATGCAAGCGAATCTGAGGAGCCCAACTTGGCGCGCAGGATCAAGAAGAATGTCGATGTAACGCTGAAGAGCACGCCATCAAGAGTACCGTCAGACCATGTCGCTATCAAGGTTCTGCACCCCAGGATCGAGAAGATTGTGAGGAGAGACTTGCGAATCATGGGATTTTTTGCGGCCCTCATCAACGCCATACCTACCATGGAGTGGTTCTCATTTCCGGACGAAGTACAGCAGTTTGGCGAAATGATGAGGCTGCAACTGGACCTAAGAATCGAGGCTGCGAACCTTACACTTTTCCGCAAAAACTTCAAAGATCGAACAACGGCCTGGTTCCCTTATCCCTACACGGATTACACTACGCGCAATGTACTCATCGAAGAGTTTGCCCAGGGAATTCCTCTAGAGGACTTCTTACAAAATGGAGGCGGTGTCTTTCAGAAGGATATTGCAGATGAAGGGTTGGATGCTTTCCTGAACATGGTTCTCATTGACAACTTCATCCACGCAGATTTACATCCAGGG